AAAGCAAAACGTTTTTTTAATTTGGAAAAAAACAACGTTATAGACTGATATAATTATTGCTTCTTAATAAAAAATAAAGTACTAAACAGCTTGAATCAGAATTACACAACAGAAAATGTATCACAAAATATAAGAAATGTCAAGTCCGCTGTTTTTCCATCGACTTTTCATATTAAACCTTTGTATTCGTAGACAAAGACCATTATTGAATCTGGTACAAAACCAGTTATTCCATGTAATGAAATGTTTATTCCATTACAAGATAAACATATTTAATGTGTCTGTAAAGATTTGTATCGGGTCAATAGTAAATTTAAACAACTGAGATATATGTTGTTTTTGTCTAAATTGATACATCGACATGTCTATTTGGAAAATGTTTTAAGTTCAGAGACTGAATAATGAGCAAAAAACTTTTAAATAAAAACATCCAGAAACAAATATTCTTTTTAGGGTTACTAAGGTGGTTCTACATTTTGGTGACCTTTCCCTGTCGCTGATCTTGAACGGCTTATAACAAAAAGAAAAAAAAGACACTTATTGGGTTTAGGAACATTTTCTATGTTTGTATGTAGGTGTGCTGCTTTAATTGGCATTTTAAATTGTGAGGTTTCATTCCATTTAGTAATGTCTTAGTCTCTATGAATCCAGATATATCAATACGATTCTTTTGTATCATTAAAGTAGACTTATAAGGTCTGATCTGTTCCGCATTTTTTTATTGAATTACAGGTTATAAAGTTTTACAATACATGTAGGTGTCTTTCTTAAATATTTTCTATTCATTTATGCGTATGTGTGTCCCCTGTCTGGTTTCTTATAGAAATAACGGCATATTAAAGTAGTTATTAGTAGTTCTTAGTTAAAGTAGTTCTTAGTGTTATCATAAGGTTTTGACATTCAAATGTATGTATACCTAATCTATTTCGAAGGAAACAAAGATTTGGTTTTGTACATGTGTTAGTGTATGTTTAAATATTACATATCTTTTAACAAATTATTAAGATGTGAAAAAAGCCCGCATGCGTCCTGAAAAAAAAAGACATTTGCATCGATTATAAAGTGAATGGCGATAATTTGGAAAATTTAAGACTTTATCAGTATTCATTGCAAAAGCTTGAAATATAGCTGATGCAAATGCATAAAAAACAGTATTTTATTTACTGCTGTTAAAATCACTCATCTTTATAAATCACATTTTCGAATTTACATCATCTGGATACACATTGAACTTGTATTGTGTTTAATCCACTGATCAACTTTGAAGGTTCCGTTATAACCGCCATATGAACAAATCAGCAGATGTCATAATTCAAAATTGTACAAGTTAAGGTGTTAGATGTTATTACCGTCCATGAACAGGCTCAATCAAAAAAAGCCTGCAACATTTTCTGTTTTGCCGTGTTGGACTTTCTTTAGGAGTATTTATTTTCTTTATTTTATCGCCACATCAGCGTTGTTTGTGCCGTGTGGATCCTGTAAAAAGTCGCCCCGTACATTAAATCAGAGGTGTTATATTTCCGATCCTTAAAGATCGTTCAACACGACACGGCATTGTTGTGCTTGTGGTAATTTAGTTCTTTCTATTCGGCTATTTTTTGTTGGGTGGTTCCAGTATTCCTTACTTGAATTCTTGGGATATGCGGCCTTCTTTTTAATTTGTCTTTTGACGTCTTATATGTGATATGCAGGCTTCATAACCTCTGGTCCTCTTTCAAAATTCCATTTTATTTAGTTCCGCCTGTTTTTTTCCTGTTTAGGGCACACGCTTTTTATTACTTGGGGACAATACGCCGCTTTTCATAGAATAACACTTACGTGTCACATTGAAGGTTCCATGATAACCGCCATAATAACACATCTGCGGATGCTTCAAAATTCAAAATAAATTGTACAATGTCATGTTAAATGTTGAATTTTGCTTAAGCCGTGCTATGAGCGTGGACGGTAACTTTCTCTTTCCAGTACCGTCCACTAACAGGCTCAATCAAACCGAGCCTAAAACATTTTAGATTTTGCCGTGTTGGGCTTCCTAAGGGATTCTTATTTTCTCTGTTTTATAATACAGTCATTTAACTAGAGTTGTTGAGCGCTACTTTTTTATTTTTTTGATATTCTTGTAGTAAAAATTGACATAAAATGCTTTATTTACACTCATTGCATAATATTTAACAAAAGCGACATATTCAAGAAGGTTAACTTTTAAAGCACGATTAATTTAATGTTTTACAAGTTTACTCCCTTGCATAGTCAACTTAATTCATCCGGAGTCTGAATTGATGTCAAATTTATGTGGTACGGAATAATGTCGTTGATGTCGCGATAATCTACGTTTTTATCCCCCGCCGAAAAGCGTTGGAAGTATAGGAAAAGTCTAAGCTCGCCTATGTGTCCTTCGTCCGTCCCTCCCGCATATTTGTCAGGACCATATCTCAAAAAGTATTTGAGGTATCAATTTGAAACTTCATAGGTGGATATATCATAAAGAGGAGAAGGGCATTGCACAAAAATGATTACTCTTCCGTGCATAATTGTTCAGTTATTGCTCTTTGTTATTGTTCAAACTTTAGTATTGTCCAGAGCATAACTCAAAAGCCTTTAAGATATCAACATGAAACTTAATAGATGGATAGATCTCCCCCAAAAGGTGTGCAGTGCACAAGAGTGCTAACTCTCTTCTTCATAATTTTAGTTATTGACTTTGGTATTTTTCATACTTTTTTCAGCTGAGTGGAGCATAACTACAAAAGTCTTTGAGGTGTCAACATGAAACTTCATAGATGGAAAAATCTCGTTTTGAAAGAATTGCTGTGCGCAAGAATGACAACTCTACCCCTTATAATTTTAGAGTCATTGCCCTTTGTTATTTTTATATTTTTTGTCCGGAACTCAATATATCAAAAAGTGTTAGAGGTATAAACTTAAAACCTCATAGGTTGATAGATCCCCTTGAGGAGTGCAGCACAAAAGAATGATTACCTACCTTGCATTATTTTTCAGTTATTTCCCTTTGCTAATTTTCATATTTAATGTTTGTCTAGAGAATAACTAAAAACACCTTTGGGATATCAACATGAAACTTAATACGTAGATAGATCTCATTCAGGAGGTGTGCAGTGCACCATAACGATAACTCTGCCCTTCATATGTTTTAGTAATTGCCCTTTGTTATTTTCATCCTTTGTTATTTTCATCCTTATTATTTCCTTAGTGGAGCATAACTCAAAAAATGTTTGAGATATGAACAGGAAACTTCATAGGTGGATAGATCTTATTGAGGACAAGAATAATTACTTTACCCTTTATTATTGTTGAGTTATTGCCTTTTTAATTTTTCCTACTTTTTGTCCGGAGATTATCTCAAATAGTATTACAGGTATCAATTTGAAACTTTATAGGTGGAATATCATATTGCAGAGAAGTGCAGCGCACAGGAATGATAACTCTACCGTGCATATTTTTTCAGTTTTTGCCCTTTGTTATTTTTCATACTTATTTTCTGTCCAGACAGTTACTCATTAAGTATTTCATATAATTATAAGGCATTAACTTGAAACTCAAAATATAACTACATGTATGAGGCTACTATGAGAAGTGGAGTGAGGAGTAATTGTACACGAGATTGACTTGATACTAAAAGTAATTTAAAGTTAATAATAAAATAATTGTAACTCTCTTTTAGATCTTTATTTTTTTCACAATTTGTTTTTGGGAGTCTTCTGTTTGATTCCATATATATTTACTCTTGATCAATATATTAAAATGGTGTACTTTGCAGGAGTTTTTTATATCTAATGTTGTTCTTAAATCTAGCTGTTTTAGCGTATAATGGCACATGGAATAATGAGACACCTTATGCTATGTCAAGTACGTAAGAATGATAATTATATATTGCCTTTGGTCTGTGTCCAAAGTTTGATTTTGTACAACTAACCCCTATTCACAAACGCAATTCAAGCAAAAATCAATTATTAGAACGCAACTGTCAGCTTCATTTGACTGTATATGTTCATGTTTGTATTATTGAACTTTTCTTTTCCGTCATAAAATGATTAATTAAGTTGTGAATTAATGATAAAATTATCAAAGGACATTGCAATATTTTTACTTAGACGTTCAATGTTATTTAAAACGTCAAGCTTAAAACCTGCCAGTTCTGTCACAAATTTGATTGTGTCTTATAAAGAATCCAATCATTGAAATGAATAGTGGCAAATTTTGTGGTTTGTAGATGGCAACGGCAACGACATCATGACTGAACTTTTTTCCAACTTAAATGTCTCGATGATTTGGTGCTTTTGTTGGGGTTTTGTTTGTCCTATATTTCAATTTTCATGTAGAGAAAAAGAATCCGAAGAAGTTTCAGTCACAAATTTAAGAGTTACGGCTTGATAAAATGAAAAGACGTTTTATGTCTTTCAGCTCTGATATTTTTGGGCTCTTAATATATAGGCAATAATGTGTTATCTTCGGTTATGATATATATTATAAGTTCAAGTCGATTATCCTAACGCTAAGATGTTTCAGTCACTTCATACATCTTTTTGTGTACTTCTGGATGGAAAAAAAATCGAAAAATAAAAAATTATGTAAGACACCATGATCTTAATCTATTTGGCATGTGTCGCCCCTTTCTATATGATATCGACTATTTGATAAGCATTATTTTCCTAATGTTCCTAATGTGGCACAAATAACATTAGTAACATTCAGACATGCTAAATGAAGATGTTTGCTCCATTTCGAATAAATACTTTGACTAATTGTTTACAAAAAGGGCAATTTACCTTGAACAAATAGGGGCAAGTTCGTTGAACAATGTGAAACAAATGGCCTCAACTTAAACTGATATAAAACAGTCGAACAAGTGACCTTGTAGTGTGGATAGTTGGCTCTGATCGTATTTGCACGGTATTGTTTCTATAATCACACATGTAATACCATGAAGTGAACTTTAAGTTTCTTCTTTTGTGTAATTAAGTAAAAGATAAGACAAGTGCTTCGAAGTAATATTTATTTAAAAATCAAAGTGAATCATATTACTACAACAAATACGAGGGTTGTCCAAATAAGTCATAAAACGTTTAGATACAAAAATCTAAAAAAAAACTTCTTAACGATCCTTACTGATATTTAATATTCTATTGCTAAGTTAACATGCACAAAAAATTAGATAATTTGATAACGCCACACAAATTATAAGGTTATCTAGTAACGCAATAGACTCACGCCCCACCGTCATATTAACGTTACGTGACATTATGTCAATGTTTTCTTTTTTCAAAGTATCACCTATGTCAGGGATATTCATTTAAATGTAAATCCACCTTCTTATATGAGACATACTTAAAATGTCAGCACATTTAATTTTTTACAACCTTGAATGTCTAACACACTGCAAACTGTTTGATGTCTGTCTTTTTTAATAATCTTTTCAATTTTCTCCATTTTTTATAATCACATAACTATGGGTATACCATTTTTGCTTCTTTTATTTCGTCACCTGTCATAGGTTATGATACTTAAATATCAACGATTGCAAAACTTTCTGGTCCTTTTTAATAGGTTTTAATTGCTTTCACATGACCCCTAGATTTCATAAAGCACCAAATGCAAAATAAATGGTCATCTACTGGGCCACGTCAGCGTCAAACGTCGCCATGTTATTATGCTCTTATAAAACACTATAATAAGTAAAAGATGCACTGTAAACATATTTGTCTAACGATTTCATACCACATCAGACATACAGTAATTGTATAGTAAAAATATAACACAAATCTATTATGTTATTTACTACTAACTCTGTTTTGAAGATTATGTGTTAGGATGGTAAAATGACGATTTTAGGCGTGGGCCGCATATGCTACCTAAGGCCTGTATTAATACTTCGATAGTTAATGTATGCATACTTTTTTGAAAAAATGTTTTTCATAAGAAAATGATCGAGAACCACATGTGCAAAATTATTTCAGGCTTAGACGTAATATTTTTGTTTTACAGCCATAGTTCCTGACTTGTGGGACGGCCCTCGTATAGAATTGGTCATAAGACAACGCATATCAACAAAGAACACTTATCATACTCATAATGCTCATTTAGTGTTTAATTAAAAATTTACCTATTTAAAAGGATACATAATAAACAACATAAATTTACACAATCATTCTTTTTTTTCAATACTATGCTGATGCAAAACAGGTGCAGTACACCAATGCTACTTGTATGCAAACAAATAGTAAGCAAATGGAGGGACTTGTTCAGTGACTTTCTTAACATCATATAAAACGCTAATTATTTAAATGTAAAATTAATGTTAGAGATATCAGAAAAAAACGTAGATGATTTATTTGCTTATAGTTATAAATTACGAAATTAACAATACTGTTGCATTATTTCAGATTTGGTTATAATCGTATGTCAATTGGTATTCTTAAATAGAATTTTATTATGTGGTTTAATTTACAATACACCAAATACATTCGATTTCCCAAAGGATGTCAAATTTATACTTTCGTGAATGGTATATCATGTGTTTCTTTAAATCAAAATACACTAATTAAATCTACCCACCACGTACAGGTTAATCGCGACATTTCGACAAATGCTATGGCGGATGAATACGTAAACGTACGAAAAAGGTGCATAGGAGCCATTCTTACATAAAACATTCGTATCATCTGTGCGCGTAGTTTTTATTTTTCAAAACTTCATATTTTTTTCAAAGATGATCATTACAAATCGGCAAGGGGATCCGACTTTCGATTCTCCTGACTAGTATGCTATATTATTCTTTACCATTCTAGTGCAGAAATATTGCAGCTTAACTCGACAATGTCTCTGTATACGATCTGAGTGCAACTGTCACCAGCACAGTTTTATTCAAATAAATGATACCTCATGACAGATTTAAATTCATTAACTTATAGCTCCAAACATATGCACAACAAATTCACCGACCGAGAAATAACATTTTCATAACCCCATTAATGTCATTTCAATGTGAATGCATAATTTGTACAAAATTTGCAATTGTAACAACTTTTTTACTACACAACATCTTTAAACAACAAAACGATATACATCAATACCAACCATACGTTCAACAATAAAAGACAAAAATAGAAAAATGACATAAAGCCGTAAATCTAATATAATTTCTTCTAAATAAGCAAATATTCATTATTTAAAGAGACAAAAACAATATTCATAATATTATAACCTTGAAATTTGAACAATGCAATGTTAATTCAATTTACGTTACATTTAATAAACATTGTAGTAAATAACAGCACGTGGTTTATTGACATGTCTGATTAGACAAAAACATCATAAAACACAGACAATACTAATACATGAGTGAATATATAACTATCTCAAAAAACAGATGTACATTTAAACGAGCGATCTCTGTTGGATGATACTTGATCCTTAAAGAAACAATAGCAACAATGCTAACCGATAATATATACTCCAAAAAATATTGAAAAAACTTTAAAACAATCAATTAACATATGAATCATATATTAACAACGTTAATCACAACAATTAGCTTAAACAAAATTTAAAATTTAGAATAATTCTAAAACAGTTGTCACATGACCTTGGTTTCTAGAACAATAATTAAATAACTGAAATGTCATCAAAGTTACTTCCTACATATACATGATACATAGCTAATATATTGAATTATCACTGACAATATATATATATGTTAAAACTTTGTAAAATTTATATTAAAAAAAATACAAAACAATATACAGATTTATGGAAACATTAAAGCTATATTTAAGTGGATCATAAATAAACTAACACTATTTCTGTTCCAGGCAAGCTCCTTATTTAAAGCTTGATAGCTATAAAAAAAGTTAAAAATGACAGACATACTGATTACTGTTTATGTTGTCACCATCAGTTTTTAATACTCATTAAGATATTGTTAACCTTTACAATATTAAAAAAGAGTTATTTGTATGCAAATACAAGTACTATCAACATCCATCATGGCAAAACAGCTTAATCAACAGTATCAATCTATAACAGCAATTATTTCAAAATGGCTTATTTGCTATTCAGATTCAAACGCATTACGTTTATTTGTTTTCGTTATTCATATATTGTGTATGTCTATACTTAATTACCAAAACATTTTTTTTTCATTTAGAGCAGTTTTTATTATATTAAAAAAATTTTGCATTTAGCATGATTCATTTAAAGTATTCCTAATCATAAAACAAATAACAGATCAAACATATACAGACAATGTATAAAAATCATATAAAAAACTACATTTCAAGAATAATCAAAATACTAATATTTGAATAAATTTAATCAAAATATTTCGGCAGACAGGTTTTCTCAATAACCAACAGTATCAACACTATTTGAGACACAAAAGATCACTTCCGAGAAAAAATTTATGATAACCTGCAGGTTTCCTTGTAAGCTATTGTCAAAGTTAAATGACAGTGACATCAATATCTAGCAATGATTTCTTTGTTAACAACAGCATACACGTTTATCACAACAATATAATTTAAACTACAACATTTATACTAACAATAAATTTAAAACTTTTTTTTCTTTTTTTTTTACATAAATTAGTTTATACTAACACAATTGCTTTTACATCACGCACATGTACTATTTACATCATTTTTATTTATTGAGAAGGAAATTCCTTCTTTTTTGTCAAAATGGCGCATACTTTTATTCTTCATACAACATTTGACCTAATCTAAACTAATTTTCTTCTTCTTAAAGTCAATGCTTACAAGTTCTGCAGTTTTCCCTCGTTTGGGATTTTTTCTGTCGTTTTCCTTACATTTTGTAATCATCTTTCGTAAAAGACATCCATATTGGTAGATATTTTCAGCTTTTATTCGATCGTCTGATACAAGTGTCATTTTCGTATCAAGAATAATTCGTTTTTCAGCCTATGAAAAATGAAAAAATGATTTTTTAAGGTTTTAATAGATAAGAATAAAACGCATAAGATGCTAGGACTGAAAAAAAACAACATAATTTTCAAAAGGTTACACTCATTACGATATGTATCAAATAATAAATATTGCAAGGTGTATGCTTATCGTTTTATAATTTTTAAACACCATTTCGTCAGTCGTACATATTTTAAAGATGTCTAAGTCATTTTTGCCGGAGAAGTATTAAGTATTTGTGCATAAGATGTTCGAATCATTAATTATATCAAATATAATACTCTGCGTGTTTGTTTAGCAATTTGGTGCGAAAGTGTATATGACAAACCAGAGCGTTTATATTTCATTCCAATGCACTTAATTGTATATAAATTAATAGCACTAAAATGTTCAAACGACTAAACGACTAAAATAAATATGGTTAAACTGAACACATGTGCAGTGGACAAAGCATCATGGATATTACTAGCAGTACCACAGATACATGTTAAAGTCAGTACGCGTGCAATTGAACATTTGTGATCTGTACAAGTATTGTCAAGTGACTATTGAGCGGATTATGGTTAAATACGGCGGTAACAACCAAATAATTGTGAAGGGGCAAACTTTTATTTACTTTAAGTTTTTGTTTGTTTTTGTCGGTGAACAGTTTGACTTTTTGGTCATTTTTAATTTACAAAATGAAAGCAGAGAAACTAACTGGCCAGTCTAAAACATGTAAACACTTTTAAGGATCTTTTTGAAACGTATACACGTCTTTATTCCTAAATACACAATGTAATATACAAGAGTTTCGGAAACAAATTTCTAGTTAAATTTCTGTAATAGTTGAGACCTTTAACATTTGACGTTAGTTACAATTTGTTACAAAGGAAGCGAAAAGTACAAAAACATATAATTTGTAAAGCCTTTTTATTGTTCTTTTTTCCTCTAATTTCGGGGGTTAAATGATGCATAATTAGGTCCCTAGTTGACTGTATTATATCACATATGTGATTAAATGCAAGTGTAATTATAACATTGAAGATCAATCGTTCATAAAAAAACCTGCAATAACTAAATAACAATAAACACTCCCTAATTCACCAGTGTTGAGCTTATGAACATGATGTGTGCACATGAATACCTCAGAGTGAATTGCAATGGCCGAAATACGACAGTTTCATTTAGAAACACATTTAACAGTGTTTCCTAGATCAAACCAATAAATGTAAATCGTGATTAAATTTTTCACAGCAAATAAGAATTTGGACACGTTACTAATGTCATTATTAAACAAGCACAGGGCTAACATTTCTTTCTGAATTCAAAAACAGCCGAAATAACCTATGCTTGTAAAAGCAGACTTAATTGGCTAGGTACCTTCTTGTTATTTTGAGTCATATTTATCTAACGTCAGTTACAGCATTACATTGAGGTGAATATTTTTCTTTTAGAAAATTTGAAGTATCTATATTTTCATTTTTAAAGAAATTTTCCTCGCTCTCTTTGACATGTTAAGCTTTTAAGAATTTGCTTTAATATGTACATTATAAAAATGTGTACAGTTACTAGATTCATTGCAGGCTAGAATACACACTGTCAGATATTTCGGTAACCATTTATTTTTTCACAAACAAACACAAATATTAAAACATGCCTGCAGACGGGCAAAACGATAATTATAACAAAACAATGACATAAAACATACCATTAATTAAAAAGTGGAAATTTATGACCAGATGAATTTACATTTCAACATTGGTTTAAGAAAAAAACAATTGGAGTTGCATACAGTATTATTACACTTACATGTTTCTTTCCATATCGGATGAAAGTGTTAGTTTCTGAAAGTTTCTCAATACCAAGAGATGATTCATGTAGAAGTCTGAGATATTTAGCGAGTTGATAGGATATCGCAGTTACACTTGCTACAGAAATGTTTTCATCATCGTCAAGCACATCCTTAATTCTTCTCATCTTTCCACCTGGCACAATTTCTCGTTTAGTTCTAACTGATCGACAATTATCTGTGTACTGCAATATAGCTGAGCCTATTTCTGAAAAATGAAAAAAAAATATCGGAAATTCAAATGTAAATGAGTTTAAATGGCCTTGATAATAAGATTTTCAGTCTTCACATGATTTCCGTGATATATTTTGGTGTTCATATTGGTTATGTCGTGGATTTGAAGTTCCCTTGAGTGATCTTCTCCTTTTCAAGTTATTAATTATTACATGTCATTTATTTTTATTTATATCATTTTATAAAATGATATCACTATTATCCCTGCAGCCAAAATATCTTAATATGATAAGTCAGATGTCCCAGAACTCATTGTAACATAGCTGTTTTGTAAATATTAAACGAGGCGCTGGAGACGGACTGGAGACGGACTGGTAGGTTGATTGATCGACTCGCTTTTTGGAATAATCATAACATTGTGGACATGGAAGTATCGTGACAAGAAACAAAAAAACATATAAATGATTTCTTTCAATATCCACCTTTCAGTAAATAAAAAAGTCTTTGTCGTTACCAAACAGATATTTAGTGCTTTTTCAATTTTATGTTAATGCTATTGTGGCTTTTGTTGTAATTGATTCTGCTGTTATTTTAATTATTGTTATTCATATCTTTATAATGTTTTTTTAGTATTTATATATAATTTTCTTAGTTTATCATAGTTGTCTAAGACACATTAAGGAAGAATACATAGTATCACTTATATAAGGTAGTATTATACTTCACACTGTCAAAAACAGCACACCTATACAACAGCAATTAAACTAAAATTCCCTGTACATAAACATTTGGTTTCTCCTACTTAAAAACAGTATATATTACTGTAAACATATTTACCTTTCTGGTTTTCTGTATTACTCTGTTCATGAAGACTTGGATTGAAGCTCTGAAAATGAATAAAGTATTCATTAAACGCCATGCTAAATACTTGACATTTCATTATAAAATAAATTATGCATAGGTATAAATTTTGCAATCATGCATATTATATATGTATATTTGTGACTGAATTATACCTAACCAAAAGAAAGCAAAAAGCATGGACAATAATGTTAGAGTAAGTGCGACAACTGTTGTCGAGAGGATAAGGCCGCTGATGCAGAACCACTTACTTCTCACTGCTGTTGTGGTAATTATGGATCATAAGTGTGATTATTTAAATTCTGCGTATTTACGCATGTGCCCGCTCGTGTCTAATCGATATTGCACGAAAAGGAAACAATCCTCCAGAAATATAGCTGGACAAGTCACCTAAACATTGTCGGCTTAACTACTCTTATAAATCCGGCCAAAAAGGAAATGCTTATGGTCATTAACTTCATTATTGTCATATTGCTGACTTTTAGAACCATTTCCTTCCAAGGAAGCATTACATGCTATTACCCCTATACAGCTAATCTATAAGAATATATCGTGTGTTTTTTCGTACTTTTTTGCCAATTATTGCTGAAAGTGTATACAGAAAGGGATTCAATGCCGAGTTAAAAGGAAGAATAAACACTACAGTAAATGCGTATACATCTCCAGAAATAGGATATCCATTCAATGAAAGTATTCCTGAAATAAAAGAAGTCATATTTATTTAAATTGTATAATATAATGCAATCTTAACCTTAACACACAAAAAAGGGAGAATCTACATCATTAACTTAAGTTCAACAACATCTGTCAGCAAGACGACTATCATCAGTGATTTATAACATAACAATATCCTGTATAATATAGAATTTCCTAAGTTAAGAAAGGGCCATACTTCTGTCAAAATCTGTGTCAGAACTTGAGCGTGGGACAGTGAGTGACCTGCTATTACGTTTGTTTAAGAGTAGCGTGTGTCAAGTTGAAACAAATTTCATTCAGTAGTTTAAGAACACCAATTTCAACCTAAACCAGAGTGTGACCCCGACGCCTTTATAAAAAAAAACAAAAAATGTTTTCCTTGCCTATATTCTTCGAACAAATAACAATGAGCATTTGTCACGTTAAATTAAGTGGAGAATCCACTACATTAAGAAAAATCAAAATAACATTTCCATTTTAAAATTAAGTAGACAAAGGGGATTCTGTCAAGGTATGTTAATTCGTGCTTGTTTACTGCATACATTTCAGGGAGAACATGAATTTAACTAAACATGATAATTCCACATGTTGTAACAATATTTGATATAAAGAATGTCATTCAAATTATTATCACTAAACAATATAACCGATGTTATCCTTTAAGAAAACGAATGCACTTTTATTTTACATTTCAGATATTAACTTATTCAAGTTGTTGAATATTTAATCAATTTGTAGGTTACTGATATTTTTATTTACCCATTAATCCAATTGGAAACCAGCAAAGGAAATCGGTTGTTGCAACAAGGATAAGATTTTTCGCTACTTGCAGATCCCTTTTTCTTGATTTCTGTGTTTTCTTGCCACCTATGCTAGATTTCCGAAGTTCCAAAAAGATTGACAATTGACCAAATGCAACAAGGATGAAGGCGATGAAATTTAAGACGACAAATATTGAAACGGAATACATCCAGCCCGGAGGCTTATCACGTGACAAGGGTAATGCAATGCATACTCCAGTTCTGGAGTAGAACTTGTCCTTGAAATAACTTGTGTGGAAAATAGGAATAGCCGCGAGCAATATTGCAATGACCCAGCAAATGAAACAGCAAATATAAGCTTTTTTTGGTGTAAACCTTACGTGTCCAAAAGGATATTTGATAACAAGAAGTCTATCGATTGTTATAAGACATAAAAAGAAGACGCTTGCTTCAGAAGATACGGTTGACAAAAATCCGGTAAGGGTACACCAATTACTGTTTCGCCATTGATCGTCTATGTAAATATACCTGTTAAAGAGATTAGATGTTTAATTTGACATTTTCTACTTGACTACGGAAATGATAAATGATATACAAAATATTAGTTTTATCATGTAAAATTTAAATACCTTAAATGAAAAAGATGATAGCAGAAATGTAACTTACCTGCCTCTATAAATAGAATCAATAAACGCTATTACAATAAGGTGTATTCCCATTAGGAAATCTGCAGATGCCAAATTCGTAACAAATATTCCATAACCAATTTTAAGTCGTTTTCGGTCATACACAACGCGGTACACAATTGATGCAAGATTTCCGAGTAATGAAGCTATCCCGACCAGCCATAAAACTGCCTGCAGAATTGGATGTCTCATTAAGTCGTCACAAGATGAAAACTCATTCTTTGACGGGTAACAGTTACTTTCTTTGACATAACACGGACGTTTACAACAAAATTTATACGCCGGTGTACGTAATTCAGTCAAAGCAAAAACATCTGAAAAAATGAACTGATGGAATTCGAGTATATTGTTACCTTCAAAGTTGATCTTTTTAACCGACGTATTAGTAAAAGCAAAATTTTCGATTTCACGAATTTCGTTATTTGATATATCAATACAGTCCAGTTTCAAATTTGAGAATGTTAAGGTTGCTATTTTCTTTAATTTCGTTCCCGATATTCTAATTGTTTTTATATTTTGTAAACCTTGAAAAGCTGAACTTGATATCTCTTCTAATTCTGGATTTCCATCAAAATTGATCTTTTTTACAGACGTATTAGTAAAAGCAAAATTTTCGATTTTACGAATTTCATTATTTGATATATCAATACTGTCCAATTTTAGATTTGAGAATGTTAATGTTGCGATGTTCTTTAATTTTGTTCCCGATATTCTTATTGTTTTAATCCTTTGTAAACCTTGAAATGCTGAACTTGATATCTCTTCTAATACTGAATTTCCGTCAAAATTGATCTTTCTTACAGACGTTTTACTAAAAGCAAAATTTTCAATTTCACGAACTTCATTATTTGATATATCAATACTGTCCAATTTTAAATTTGAGAATGTTAATGTTGCGATTTTCTTCAGTTTGGTTCCCGATATTTTTATTGTTTTTATACGTTGTAAACCTTGAAATGCTGAACTTGATATCTCTTCTAATTCTGGATTTCCGTCAAAATTGATCTTTCGTACAGACGTATTACTAAAAGCAAAATCTTCAATCTCACGAACTTCATTATTTGATATATCAATACTGTCCAATTTTAAATTTGAGAATGTTAATGTTGCGATTTTCTTCAGTTTGGTTCCCGATATTTTTATTGTTTTTATACGTTGTATACTTTGAAATGCTGAACAAGATATATCTTCCAATTCTGGATTTCCATCAAAATTTATCATTTTTACCGACGTATTACTAAAAGCAAAATTCTCAATTTTATGAATTTCATTATTTGATATATCAATACTATCCAATTTCAAATTTGAGAATGTAAATGTTGCGATGTTCTTTAATTTTGTTCCCGATATTCTTATTAGTTTTATACTTTGTAAACCTTGAAATGCTGAAGCAGATATCTCTTCTAATTCCGAATTTCCAGCAAGATCTAGCTCGACTAGGTGACGAAGATCTCTAAATACGTTGTCGGAAAGTTGTTTTATTTTATTGTGGCTAATGTTGAGTTTCAATAAATTTTTCATGTCTGAAAATGCCATACTGCTTACAACTTCTATACGACAGTTTGACACATCAAGGAACAACATAAAAGGCAACTGGATGTTTTTATCCGATAAAATATCTTTTATTCCATGGTTAAAGCTTAAGTCGGCGCTTCGAGTTTTGATTGCCATATCACGTATATCTGAAATATTCAAATTTGCTTTTCGGCAATCAACAGCGCCGTCTACACACTTGCATTTATAATGACATCTAAAACCACACAAATGCTCGTCATCATTATTCAAACAGTGAACTATGCCGTCACATACTTGGTGGAGAGGTATACATTGCTTGCTAGAGTAACATCTAAATCCACCAACACACGGTACATGTGAAACATCTATACAGAAAAAAAAAAGAAAAATTGATGTTGATACCAAAATGCATGCTCGATTTCGTAACTCGATATATATTTTGCTTTTGGTAGTGAATGAACACATTTTTAAAAACATTCAATGATACTTAATGATGGCTTGTGAGAGGGTGTATAGACTGATTTGCAATAGCAACAACTGTCAATTTACAGACTCAATCAAACCAAGCCTGCAACATTTCCAATCTTGCCATTTTGGACATTCTTTTTGAATCGGGCTTTCCTTTCATTTTGTATTAATTGCGCGTTGACTGGAAAAAAGGATTGCAATCGGTATGTTAAAATGTAGCGTATAAAATGAAAATATATCAATAACTTATGTACATAACATATCTAAAATAATTGCTGCCTTATTAATTATAACAGAGCCCTATTCTAAGATTGCCATTGTAATGAAAGACATTATGATAAATTATATTAAATACAAAAATGTGCCAACAATTGAAGATTTTCAAGGTGTACATACAAATATTTTGTAAATTTCGATTGGGGGAAAGCAAACGAAATTATGGGTATGGTTGAACGTTGCCTGAAAATTATATTACCATTCTATATATCAATAGGACGTAATTTACAACTCAATTATTTGTTGAGTGTTGACCTATGCATAAACGCCTAAACATTTATTATTATACCTACCTGTGCATATTTCTGGAAAATGCCTGTATCCTATCAAATGTAATGAACTCCATTTATTGATGCGCACATCTTTTACAAATTCGAACGTGTGTTTAATGTTAGTCAAAAAGCTTAAATTTCTGATCACACGGTAGATGGTAAATTCTGGTCTAGATATGTTAGAAAACATGATCTCAGCGACTGTAGATGACTCAACACTATCTTCAATAAATATAACAAACTTGGTTTCAATGTTTTCAAACTTTAAAGATGGGAGAAGATTTCTAGCCATAGTTTTATATTTGCAATCGGAACTTAATTCGTCAATGTTTCTTTCACGTACTTTTAACAGTCGATGTATAAGAGGAAAGTTGTCTAATCCAGTTTTCGCCTGGTAGTAAAGTAATTTTACTTTAATGTCTCCATGCTTGAATTGTTTTGCTAATAATTCTGCGGCTTTTTTACTTTGTGTCTGTTGTTTTGTATCCTCTATTAACATGACAACAGTTACTTCTTTGTCCCTACTAACACATGCTGAAATAACAACAAAGAAAATCAGTAATGCAATTTGTGCGGGCTGGTTCCGTTATCAAGTGTATGCTATATTGTATAAAAAAACAACTTTTTTTTGATTATGGTTTAGCTCTGTGTAATTTGACACAATAAAACGATAGTACATAGACATAAAATTGAAACTGCTCAGTTATTATAAGCCAACAAAAACAAGACCTAAAATGTTTGTGAATAAACATTTATTACTTACAGCAATTGTGTTCGTCCTGTCCACCAGGACACTGGGCAATCCCGTCACATACAAATCGAAGAGCAATGCAAAAACTATCTGGACATTTTACTGTGTTTGGAGGACAAACGAAATCCCCTGAAACAATAATGTCATTAGTAACTGGATAAACAATATAATTGACAATTAATTTATGCTTAATCATTTGTTGAAATTCCATTATGGTACATAAATAAGTTCATTTCATGGGAAGTATTTGTTAATAAGTGTTCTTCCTAGTTAAAACTAGAGTCTCATAGAATGGGAGCACCATGATGCGCTTCAATTAACAATAATTTATTTCTTGTAACTTTTATGTAACCACACTTTCCATTTAGTCTTTTAATTTATAGGCGACTATGCATGCCAGAACATTTCAAGGTTACATTCAAAATTGACTTTTCGCCATCGTAGAGTTGACTCCACTTTATAAATTATGTATATTGGCATTATTATCTATTGAACAGAGTTGAGAGCTTTGCTTAAATCACAAAACAAATAAGGATTTTCCGACAGTATTGACATACGTTACATAAATTATTGGACTTTTTGTGTTACACAAGCCTGACCAAAAAATCTAATATGGGACGTCTGGTAAATACGTAGAATCATTAATTAGGTTGTTGGGCATTTAACTTTCATTTGATAAACGATAAGCGATTTCAATTTCAAGAGCTTTGACCTTTAGTTGGTTGGTATTTTTGCTGATTTGTACGGAAATGTAGAATCACATCATATTTATATCTATTTCACTGTAATTATGCAGATGGAATGAGATTTTATTCAAAGCTTTACTAAGCATTTCTTAGAAGATGACACAGATGTTAAAAGTAGAGTATACCTTAAAAGTTTACTGACAACAGTGATTCAAATGTAGGTTTAAGTAACAAAAACTTTCACATACCGTTAACAAAATAAATTGTATTTAATACTAAGTTGCCTTTGACTTACCGCAGTCTTGCAGATGAATTCCTGACCTACATCCAGTCATATAACCGGCTGCATCTACATCATAGTTACATACCTCAGATTTTGGTATCGTCATGTTGTCCCCGTAACAAACATACACATTATCATCGACTGCATCCATAGAGTCTGTTTTAAAAGTGTTGATATTTAAATTCATATCAATGTTTTTTCATAAATGAAAACTTGTTACAGATATATAGGGGCGTCTGTAGCCATGTTGTTACGGTCCTTGACTTCAAACCAATTGCTTCTCACCGCTGTAGTTTCGAATTCCGACGGGGTCTTTGGATTCTTTCAGTTGAGGTAGATATCCAGCTAGTTTATGGAACGTCAGTGGTTCTACTTAGGTGCCTGTTCGTGCCCGAAATAATGCTAGGAATGGCACTTGAGGTCTTCCTTCACCAGTAAAGCTGAAAAGTCGCTATATGACCTAGAATATGTCGGTGTGACGTAAAACTAAATGAAATGAACAAACAAAAGTGACACCAAATCGTTACATGCTAAACTGTGCTTATTGACTTTGCCCCTGCTATTTTCTTCAAAGATATAATATGCTCATCATTGAGTAAAATATTTAAATTCATGAATTTATTGAAACCTTTAAAAAGTCATATTTAAGATGTCTAATTTGAATAAACGAATAAAAAACGAATAAATGAATTATGTATGGGAAGTTGTATTCAATATTGCAGGTCAAGTAAAGTTCGCCCCCTTAAAAACTGCCTTTTTTAATGACACTGTGTGTTCATTTTGTGACAAACTAGTGTATAAAAATTTAAACGAAAATATCTTCTTTGCGTGAAGTGAAAACATGTTTAATTAAATTTTACAAAAAGCTATTATCAATATTTATTTCGTATCAAATTTGAGCATAGTATATCTTAAATAAACGAACAACAGGCGCAGAAGTGCCGTCACAAACAAATTTGAGTATTAAAATAAGCATTAATTCGCACCTAAATGTGACTCATATTTTTATTTAGACTTTTTGCGACGCGATCCGTTGCTATGAGAAATCGACCGGAAGTATCATTTTCTCGTCCATGCCCTACATAAAAATGTAGTAAAAGTTTAAGATTAAAGGGAAATTATATAAAATAGCTTAAGAAACATAAATAATGCCTTTATGGCTTAGATGCCCATTGAATGCATAGAAAAGATGATTGTTTATAAGAATTCCCCCTACGACAACGGACCTGACATTGAGATCATTGTTTTGAAATATGTAGAATTAAATTTATTAGCAAATAAAGAGGTAATCTAAAGTGGTAATGCTTTTTAGGTTCCAGTTTACCTGATTTCATCCTTTATCCGATTAGATGATGATGCCAAAATGAAAATTTTGTCACATATTTATCCAAAATATTGAGGGAGTGAAAAAACATTTTAACCTGTACCTCGTAATACATGTTTTTGAATGCCACACTATATTTGTCACTTCATAAAATAATAAGACATTGATTATATTGGTATTTATGCAAATGTGCAAATGACCAGGTAAGCACCGGCCTGAACCATAGCTTCACCCGGGCTCTGCATGGATGGTCTGCGGGTGCATCCTGGGTGTTAGTCGGGAATTACCTTAGTGCTGCCAGGGTAAGTGAGACTGCAACAAAAAATTCACCCTGGATCATCCCAGTAACTTACCGGTGTGGTCCTTGGCTCTGCCAGGTGTAAGTGAGGCCACAACTTTAGATGACGATACGATATCAGGTGATTTTCTTAAAAGTCAGTGTACAGGTGACAGTGAGATATTAAGAATGGTTAAAAGGGACTTTTTGATGATAATCAGAAATCTGGGTATGATAAAGTAGGAAAGGTTATAGATAAAAATACAAGATATTGTGAAAACATCTGCGGATGTTTCCAAGTTCAAAAATTTACTATTTCATGTTTAAATGTTGAATTCTGCTTAAGCCGGTGCTAGGGGGCGTGGGCGGTAACTTGCACTTTCCAGTACCGTCCATGAACAGGCTCAATCAAACCGAGCCTGCAACATTTACAATTTTGCCGTGTTGGGCTTTCTTTAGGGATTCTGTATTTATCTATTTTTTGATATATTGGGCAATGCAAATGAACTTGGAGCTATGTGTGAGTCTAAAAAACTGAGTTGTGTAAATATATCTGGTGCTATGTGTGACACTGAAATATTAAAGTAACATTATGCCCTCTAAGGGTATATAGTGACTGAACAGGTTAAGATCAAAATAACTTTTCATTTTGCCATAATTCCTTTCAATTAAATAATAACGTTCGCATAAACAATATATAACGCACAGATCCAAACGAAATTTCTGTAAATAAATATTTTAAATGTAGAGTTTACCTATAACGCTTAGTTTATAAAAAGAGTGGGGCCGTCTTTTACAGATATATAATTTTATCATAAACAATTTCCAATATCAACTGTTGGCCAAACACCATATTGACAGTCAATCTCTTGAAATATAAAGACAATTCAGCTCAACTTTACTATGAAATTATAAGCATAGTGTCTCTTTAAGTAATGTGAATGAAAATGAAGCTATGTGTGCCTCTGAGATATTGAAAAATGTTAATTTAGGTGGAGTTATGAGTGACTTTGATGTATAAACAATGTTAATGATAGTTTAGTTATGGGTCACACTTATGCTAATGAAAGTGGCCTTTGGGACTTGGCCTTGAGACATTACATCTATTTTATGTATTGTTGCTACATGGGGGTGTCTGAAGTGTTTTACGCAAATAATTAAAAAAATTGTGCAAGTCATATGTAATGCACAATTTTTAAAATATATTTTCAGTTCAAATATATTCTGGGACTGTTTGTGAAACTGTTTATTGCAAAGATATTCTTGCACTTTGAATGAAGTTTCAGACAAGTCCAAAACGTTTTTAGCGAATAGTGTTCACTATTATTTGATGTAAAATTGGCTGTAATCTCACTGCTTCAAACAGTGGTAATCAGAACAAATTATAAAATCATATTCACTGGGTGTGATATCATTTTCACTGGCTGAATCTGAATTTCCGTATCAAATTTAGAATCAGACTCATATTCTAAATAACCATACAACATGGGGATGCCAGACAAGTTGCCTCATTTGAACGCATTTTATTTATGAAAAGAATTAAAGTGTCATTTTGGCGCATTTTAGAATGGAACTATGTGCTAAGGATGACCTCATTTAGCCTCTTATGATATTTAAGTTATTTAAAAATTAATGTATACACTATTGTAAGAAAATAGTTGTGGGTGAAATGACATTAATTTCCATGAATAAATATCTTATTGAAGGTAACCATTTCAAATATGAAAGAATATGAATGTAACTGTCTTATTTTGAATATTGAAGAGTGACAAAAAATGCAAGAAAACAAGAGCTGTCACAGGAGACAGCGAAGCTGGACATTCAAATACTGGACACAGTAAGGAAGAAGAAACTATGAAAGGAAAAATCAATTATGATATAAATATATATTTCTGTATCAGTATCAGGAAAGTAGTCAAATGTTCTATAATTTGCACAACATAATGACATTGTCAATAAAATAAATGTTTCTTTAATGGAAAGACAGCAATTCGAAATCTGAAGTCGATCCCTTCGAAAACAAAAATGATTAAAGCAAAAAGGGTTGAAACAACTCTTGAAAAAAGAAGCTAGATTTATGAGCCTTGTCATGCATGATGTAACTAATGACAAAGAACAATTATTTATCTTAAGTCTAGAGTAGATACCATTTATAACAACAAAGATAATACTAAAAAATCAATTTACAAATGAATTTCAAAAATTAAAATTGTGATAATTCTGGGAATACAGGAGCTTGCGTGTTATAACTCTTATCTATATGACAAGAAGTCATATTAAAAAAATAACATTTATTAGCATTAATTCAAAGTTCAAGGGGGGGATTTTGGAAGTAGTGACGCTAAAGTTATGTACCATGTCACACTACGTGTAATGATTAAGAAATTATATCGGTCTAAGCGGTGTTTATTGTCTATTTAACACCTGTTTGGAGTTCTGATGCATAGGAATTGACCTAGGCCGTAGAAATATTATTTGAAGTTTGAAGTTGATACCTTAAAGTGATATTATGCCCATCCAAGAGTATAAATGATAGAACAAGCGAATGTCAAAATAATTTTTCATTTTGCCATAATTCCTTTTAATATAAAAATTTATTTCACATTGACAATAAACAACGCATGTATTCAAACAAAATTTTCGTAAATATCCATTATAATTTACCTGTAACGTTCATTTCATAAAAAAGCAGGGGAGTCTTTTTATATTCTAAGCAGATTTAAATTTTATCCTAAACATTTTCCAATATGAACAGTTGGTCAGTCACCAATTTTATCAGTCAGTCTTTTGAAATATATAGTCAGTTCAGCTCAGCTTTACTATGAAAATATGAGCATAATGTCACTGTAAGTATTTTACTGCACCAAAACTTTAATCTGAAATCTGGACGTGGACGCCGGGGCGAGTAGGACATCTGTCCATATACTTTGTATTGTTCAGCTTGTTCAAATTAAATAAATGACATTTGTTTTTTGTTTTTCAGGTGTAATTTATGCTCATCATGTTTTTTAAAAGTTTTGTACGCTATCAATTATGACCTTTATTTTCTTTTTCTAATTTAAACACATTCTTTTCTTTTTCTAATTTAAACACAGTCACACTTAAAATTTTATGAACTTGAAAATGGAGTAAGAGAATGTCCCATACCTAAAATATGAAATCAAAATAAAAGGTACATGCGAAACAGTTCTATCTGGCATATTATTCTCCATTTCTTTCTGGATAATTTGAAATGACAAAATGTTGCTCAATCTTAAATTAGATTAGAAAAAACATGTTTTTTGTTTTATCAAAATGTCACTTGGCACCTTTTTGCTTTAAAAATAAAAATCAAAATATGAGAAATTTTAAGTGCGAAACACTTCTAAGCTACATTTGATTAAATATTTAAGTCTTTTCTAGAATTTTTATTATCATTGACATGTTTCTTAAACATTTTTATGTTTAAAATCAAAGTGTTATGGAAATTTTGCTATTTTACAAACATTTGAGACAGTTATTTGCTTCTCCTCTACAATTTTGGAAAATGCACTTCGAACCTTTTCGCTTTCACCCCTCGAAGTGCACTTTACCAATTGTGTAATATTAGGTTATACAATAGTAATAAAATCTTATTGATACCTGCTGTTCAAGTTATATACGGATGTCACAGTCGTCTAATTAATATCTTAAATAGAGAGCCTGTGTATGCGTTTTCTGGTCGTTGAATTATTAATAATATTAGTTCCGCATATTTTCGTTTTAATGATATAAATATCAATTCATATTTTTCAATCATTGATATGTAAGTCGGAGTTGTACAATCTAACAACGGCGTCATTTAAAGTATTTTTTTCGCAAAATAAATAAAAGACTTAAAAGTCTTACCTTGAATACACGAAATTTTGTTAATTCTGATGTCAACTGGAACTTTTTTCTCAATCATATTAAATTCCACATTTATCTGTTGTTTATTTTTGTCAAATGAGTAATAAGCACGGTCACTCCGTACAATGCCACCTTCTTTACAAGCTTTGAGTTGTGGTTCTTCTTTAGTGTGAATTTGTTTATTTGAATCTTTATTTGGATATCTATACAAAAGAACAACTTTCTATGAAAATATTCTATGTATGCATTATTGAAAAGTAAACACACTTTTGATTAAGCATAACTGATCATATTTTAGAAAATCTAGTAAGTAATTAAATATGTCATTAAGATAGCTCTTTTAAAACAATGCATTTTACAAAAAAAAATCAGGTATGTTTCAATGTGATTTACAGCAATGCTTTTAAAACAATACATCTTACATGGATGCCATTTACTGCATGCACAAATGCATTTTACATAAATGCTGCAAAGCTTTACAGTCAATATGATTTAATTTAACTTATAAATAGTAAACAGTTCTGCATGTTACGACCAATGCATTTAACAACAGCACATCTATGCAATCTTCAACTGAATTTTACTTAAATGTACAAATACATTTAACAGTAATAAAATTACACACTACGCATGATCACGTGACCAAAATAGTATAATTGGCTCAGAAAATGACAACTTAAACGCTCGGTTAAAGCAGTGAAATTGATTTTGGCATACAGTTAACGTTAATTTATATGTAAAACTAGACCGCAGGGAACCCTTGTATAAAACCACGTACTGTTCTGTTATTGGTTACTTTGTAGCTATCTCTGATTAGGCCTGAAAGTTGAAAATTTTTATTTTGGTGATGAGTACAATGGGCGAACAGGTACTAAAATGCGTAAACGCTGTGCGAGGTGTGCAATTTCCGCCAGCAACTGTTTTGTATATTAACTTTTATTAAACAAATATCAACATCTGAAACGAAACCAGAATACTTAGGCACTTACCTCCTGAGTTCTTGTGGACGTACATGTCCAAAGTCTATACTCTTTTGTATGCCAAATCTGAGAAAGATATGAATTATGATAATAGTGCGTATGGAGGAATTATTAAAAACACTGGTGAAGATAAGAGCCTATTTTCATTGAGGTGAAATGACAACCATGAAGAACTTTAATGTCGGCCTATTTGCCAATTGTCAAATAATTTGAAACATAACAATTTTGGTTTTGTTTGGGATTATTACCATGTGCAATCTAGACAGAAGTACATTATATTCATGTCAATTAATTTCACAAAAACTCAATTATAGTTGAAATATATTTGTTACTTATTTTCATTGAAAAGTATGTCCAACTAAGATAATTTTACCCATGAAATGTTTGACTTGAAGGTTCGGATATTTTATAATCAGCAGGGCCACCATAGTCATCATTTACATCATTACTTAGGTTTAATGTCTGTACAGAACATTGACAAGATGTATTTGTAAAGTGTGGATACATTTCGTCGTACATGAAAGCGCTGTCTTCCGGAAGGTGACAAGTACTTTGCACCTATAAATGAAAGTTTGATCAAATAAACAAAGTCTTGACACGATCAAATACTTGAAATCAATGGAGCCTACACTGACATTCACTTTTTGAATTTAGCCAATTTTTTTCAAATAAACGATTGGCATTACCTTCAAATCATAATAATTGATTATTTAGTTGTAATTCATTTGTGCATTAACAAAGGATCAAAAATCTGAAATCTTCCTCTATGACTTTTGATATGGTGGGCTGCTATTTAAACCTGGAGCCTCCAAAATATCGTATTTGCAACGCCGGGTTTGTAAATCATTTATTGGATATGCCTTCAGGAATAGTGTATTAATCGTTAGTTTCGGTTAACCGGTTAAAGGTATGAAAAGTAAGTATTGGTTAGCTGTTTTATATATTTACAAGTATCCTAAAATAGTCAATGTTTGTTAACCAGTATCGTAATATTTCAGTCGTTGGGGTTAGCAAGTACAGTAACTTCAATCCAAGTAGCATGTTATAGGATGACTAATCAGTTGCTAGAAATACAAGACAAACGCAGCCTAGTGTCCATAAAAAGTACGGTAATACCGTTTCCTAAGAACGTTTGCCTCGGTTTGAATCAATAGGAAAGTAGGTGCATTCTGCAAAGCACTTTTTAAGGGGTAAATTATTCTTTAAACGGATTTGAGATGCATACTTTGATTTTCTCTTTTATGTTGTCACATGCGCCATACGCGGGTGCTATATTTTTTTAAGTCAAAGCGAGGTTTTAATAAAATATGATTTAGTGTATGCCTGAACAAGCCAGTGCCTTGCCCAGCTAATAAAGCGATGGATAGTCCTTCTCTGAAATGTTTGCATGCTTTGTCTACACTAACATTTGGCATAGTTCATACAATTTTGAATTTTTTGTTTTAAGTGACATATAAAAGCATATACTCTTAAATGTTCAAGACATGTATGTTGTATATATGAAAAACCTGTAGATCGATGCTAACGAACATTATTTTCCTCTTAAAAGAGCATAAAATACAAAGGGGCTACCGTGCTATTTTGTTGTTACAATATTAAGAATATTACAAAAAATATATATTTCATGCCAACAAAAAGTAAAGAACAGAACAAGATTCGAGTTGAAAACTTTGGACAAAGTGGAATTTACGTTCGATCGGCACCCTGAAAACAAATTGCACACAATTTACCGCACAAACTTTGAAATAGGAAACAAATGTAATACTCACATCGACTGTGCATGTATTCATTCTTGTTACAAACTCATAAAATTCACTATATTTTGTGAAAGTAAGATGTTTTGCCTTTGAAGACTCTGTGTATAAAGTGTTGCTGCTTGCATCCAAATCTAAATCTCTAATTTCTGTAGTTATTTTTCTGGGAAGACCTCCTCTCGAGCCATAGTCACAATACACTTTCATACCATCTGAAATGTTTTTGGCGTGGTAATACATTTTTATGACATCTCCTCAGATTTAATTAATAAATTACATCTAGGTACCCTAAGTTTGTTGTATATTGCAGGTTTTTCATTCAGATGATTTAAGTATGAGCCCCCTAATGGGCACTATAAGAAAATATAAAATTGACAACATTGGTCAGTTATTTACCTTAAAAAACACAAGACTGCAAAATGTAAACATAGTTTACCGTATCGTTTACGAGTTATGGAGATTTTTCTTATTAGTAAAACTTGGTTATTAGAAGGGTTCTTTTCAGACACGAGAAACTCCAGATAAATTTATTATATTATCATTATGAAAAAAATGTTATCCTGAAGAACATTTTTAAGAAACAAATAATAGCATTCAGCTAACAAATGACCCAGCAAAATTATTGTTTCTACTCAAAATGTTTAAAATATGTATATAAATGTTACCCTTCCCCACCCATTTTAAGTAGTTGTTTGATATTTTTCTACTTGGAGGGCCTTATATTCCTAAAATTTTCTCAAATCGGGGACTGTCTTCAAAAATAGCATAAATGTTTTTTTTTAAGTATATTGGTTGCGCGTGTTAAATATATAATACTTTTACCGTCTAGTTTTTATTTTATTATTCTTTGAAAATATCGGGTACCGTATTTGATAATAAATTTGGCACAATTTAGCCAATAAATACCAATAATAATTTTATAATTAAATGAAACACTTCATTCTTCTCAAAAGAGATCTAAGAGACACATAAATAATGTTAAAAGTAACAAAAAGAAAGAAAACAAAGTTGCCTCTTCTGGGGCTTAAACCCGCGCCCTCAGTTTCAATGCAGTTTACAGTAGTTCTAGCCTATTTGAGTACCCTTCAAAGTGGAGGTAATGCATTAGGTGGGTCGTACCTTCAATACTACATCAAGTCATATATATTAACTTTTAACAGTACGGAGGGCAACAGCATATGCCCAATAAGCATATACATTTAATCTTTGTTGTTTCCTTTAAGAAATATAAATAATGTTACCAATAACTCTTTGACCAGATTCAAAATAGCCTTTGTACCACCACTTCTCACACGATGAATCATCGTCCGTCGTACAATCACTTTCATCACTACCGTCTTTACAATCCCACACTGTGTCACAAACCAGTTTATTATCTATACATCTATCACCATCACAGTGAAAAGATTCCCGACATTCCCCTTTAAATAAAGAGGGAAAATGACACTAGTAATATGATAAACAAAGAACATCCTTCAGCATATGTGTATGTATACTGAATCAAAAGAATGTATTTATGTGTGCGCCACAATGCATATGAATTTAAGAATGTAAAAACATTTCGTTTGGAATAATATAAGTGTTAAAAGTTTAACTTACAACATTCTTTTTCATCACTACCATCTATACAGTGCGGGATTGAGTCGCAGCTTTTGCTGTCCGGTATACACTGCTTATTGCCACATTCATATTCATTGTGACTACAGTTTCGAAGTTCTGCAAATTAATAAAAAATAGCTAAAAAAGTAATATTATTTGAATAAAATTGTAAAATATATAAAGTAATATACATGTGTGATATGTATATTTAAATTTTCTGGAAAATCCTATTTAATAAGTCTTTATATAGATAAATTATTCACAAAAAAATCATGAAACATTTTCGATTGTCCCAGCACAATTTCTTTTTTTTTTTACATGTCCTAGTGTTTAATAGCATTGTCTTTGAACGTCAATACTTTATTTGTGTTATACTTTTATTTTTTAAGCAATCATCTGAATATATAATAAAAGAAAATAAATAAATTTCAGGCAATTACAATTATAAAAGTTTTAAATATACTCATTTTAGATATCAATGCCTGCTTATTTTTTTCACATAAATTGGTATACGAATAAAAAAAATTTTTTTTATGAAATGCATAATTTCATTTTCTTACAAAAGATTACCATGCATCGGACCAACCACATTTTTAACAATATGACAAGTAAATTTGTTTGAGACATGCTTTATCATAAAAATCGTACCACAAAATTCGTCTTCTGCATTCGTGCAATCTCGTTTGAAATCACAGACCAAACTATGTTTTATACAGCTTCCATCTGCACAAGTAAATTCGTTCTCACTGCAGTCTAAAGTAATGATTGAATGATTACATATTAGTTGAAGCGAAAATATGCAATATGAAACTGTTGCAGAGAGCCATGGTGAAAATCAACAAGGAAGGTAAATTTTGACCTACACGTCATTTGATAAATTTCCCCCTTTTTCGAGGTAATTATGTTAATAATATACTATAATATGTTTTCCCATGTTGTTTTCGTCACACTTTTCCGTAAAACGACCTCAGATAACACAAATATTGCAAAAAATACCCTTAAACAGTCAAAATCTAGTCTATCAAACCCAATTTTCAATTTCAAGAACTAGCTACTAGTATAATACATGTAAATAACGTTTTAAAATCTTTTGAGTATGTTACTTTTAAAAGGCTTAGGTTATTAGGCACATACAAAATATTCAATTTGAAAATGTATATATTTTACATTTAATTATGCTCCTGGTTTAAAATAGGTCCCGCGTATTTAATGTTTATTGCGAATTCACACTTTTAATAATCTTTCAATACTTAAGATCCTATAAAATATAAATAGGAAGGACACTTTCCATAGATGGATACTTCTAGAAAGATAATCAAAATGCGTCTTAGAGATAATGAACACTACAAACAAAATGCTAGCCTAGCTATAACCCATAGACTTTCAAATGTAACTTCGCTGAAGCCATCGATAATCCATCTCTTTTTAATATCTTCAGATAAAAGTTTTACAGAACAGATTTACCATAATGTGATTGTTATCTAGCAAATGAGCAAAACAGAGACATAAAGGCAATTTCTTTGCAGATCTACCTTAAAATCAAAATTTGTTGGAGTCGATTACAAATTCCACATTCTCTGGTTATTTTCATCATGTTCAAGGGGCTTTCTGCCAAACCCAGTTTTATTTATCTAATGTTCGGAAATAAACATGTCAATTATGAACGAGATAAGAATCAGGTGAGTCCGCGACAAAAACCAGGATGCCCCTTGGATGATCCATTTCTGTGTCCTATCTACTCATCACGGTTATCCCGGTAATCCACGTGAGAACTAATAACAACCTATCAAAGACGAGGACGAGGAGACGAAAAAGTCAAAATCCAGCTGCGCAAAACGCTTTGGAAAAAAAACAGGACAATATAATAGAATAAACGAAGCATTAAGTGCTTCCTACTTCGTAAATTTATACTACTGTTCATGTAAACTTTAAATCGTGTATTATTGTATATATCCTCTAAGTATAAATAAGACAAAAGTACAATTATATGAGATAAAATAACATATTTTTATCTGTAGTACGAATCTATAAAAACACAACACACATTAGATAAAATTACTAGAGAAATCAGAGGTTAAACATGTACCAGAAAAAGCTTAATTAGAAAATAACATTACAATTTTTTCGACAGTTGATTTGTTGATAATAACCCAGCAGGCACATCAACGTTGTTTCAACGTTGAATTATGGTCAGATTTCAACGTTGAAATAAGGTTGGATTTATATTCGGATTTGAAAGTTGAAACAACGTTGAAATTTCAACGTTGATACAACGTTGCAGCTTCAACGTTGGCACAACGTTGAAGTTTCAATGTCATTTCAACGTTGAAAACCCACCATACTTTGATTTTTGGATATAAAGCAAAGTAACCAGGTTTAACAAAATATCAAGACAATATTAAATACTTCAGATATTTTATTTCAAAAATGCAGTTCAAGTGCAGCTTAAATTCACTTAAATAGTTTTAACAATTAAGCTACAATCTGTTCCAATCTTTTCTTCAAGATCTTTCTGGGTATGTCAAGTGTTTGAGGAATTCTTTGGCTGTCTCTTACTGCTTCTGTAAATAAAAATAAGAAGTTTGTAGTTAAAAGTGACTTGGTCAATCTCAAATTATACATATAATTACTCAACTTAGTGATTTGTTTTTATCTTAAAATGCTTTTCTCTAAGATTTGCATCATAAAACAGCATAGAAATTGAAACATAGCTAAGTTTGATATTGACAGCAAATACTGACCCAAAAACATTATATATCAGCGTTTTTTTTTCTCTACCTTGGGAATGGTGCCGGTACCAGAATGATTGGGAAGAAAAAATGCGTTATTTTGACTAAAATTGGGATGTTTTAATGCATTTTTTTCAGCTACAAATAAGATTAGACATCATGAATAAAGATAGCTAACAGCTTCTACTGTCCAGATAGAACTATTGAGTGGTGATTTATATGAATATGTTGGATTTAAATGATTTTAGAAAAATCACTTGGCCTTGTGGGCATTTTGAACAGCCATTTTGGGAATTTAACATTGGAAATTGGGAATTTTAATGTCTATTTTCTATTGGGAATGGTACCGTTTTAGAATAGTAGTTATATAAAGAAAAAAACACTGTATATACTTTATGGCTATAATGTTGTTCTAACATTTATGCAAATAAAATGTTGTTGTTGTTGTTGTTGTTGTTGTTGTTGTATATAAGACAACAAAATCTTTTAAAAAGAAGCTAATTAAAAGTCTCACCTATGATTAGTAAGGAAAACTGCTCCCCGTCAGTTCCTTGCAGCATATTCCCAAGAAATTAACATTCTAGGCTCTAGCTAAGACCATTTTATGCAGCATCCTGAAATCAACAAACATTTAAATTTTATATTAATAATGTTACAGGAATATTCCGAAAAAAACATTTTAAGACAAGATAAATATCCAGTAGTTGAAAAATTTATATTTTGTATTGTAAAGAAATTAAAATATATAAATTAATAAGAATAAATTTCAATTTAACAAACCTGACAGTCCTTTTCATGTTGAATGTATGGTATACAGGCTACAGCTGCAATACTTTAAATTTCAGCCAGGAGCAGAATCTAGAATATAAAATAATATACAATAAAATACTTTAAATAGAAATAGATTTATTATTCCCCTTAAATTTACGACTATTAAACATTATAGTTAAACACTCAAATTTGTTATTTAACTTAAAATAATCATTATAATGTATTTTTTTCAAACTAATTAACACTGTATTATACTATCAATAAAATAAAAACATAGTTTAAATATATATATTGACGAATCGTCTTGGGACGTAAATTAAGTGGGCCGAACTACTTTAAAGGTTTCATTTTTAAAATTGATTAAATTAAAATAGGATATAGTACAGACAAATGTTTAATAATATGAAAAATAAATTAAAGAAAGACAAGATTTGTAAAATCATAGATTTCCAAGGACATCAATAACTTCATGCTTACACGGCCTACCGAACCCAAATCATTCAATTAGGTCAATCATGTGTTTATATCTCTCATTTATTTCATAAAGTAAATTAAAGTAGAATTTAAAGAATAAATAATAATATTTTTGAAAATAATCAGTAAACTAAAGTAAAACATAATGGTTATACCTTCGAAATCCAAATAAATTGGTGTTTTCAAATTTTCCAAACAGCGCCACCATTAGCACGAACGATAATCATAATAAAACAAACAAAATCATAGACCGCAACAATTACTTCCCCTAACCAGCGTTATTTTATAAACGGGGTTTTGACTAATATCAATTTATTAATTAATATTATTCATAAAGAACTAAAAAAACAAAACAACAAACAACAAAACATATTAACTAATATTAAAAGCGTTAATAGAAAGTGAAAAATTATTTCCAACTTTATTTGTTTAAGCGCTACTTTTGAATATACGGAAAAAGATTGTAACGCAAATTTTCCTGACAAAAATCACTTACAGACTAATCCAATAAAGGAATAATATCACAAAATTAGTGGTATAAAAGTTAATATAATGATTAAACTAAATGTAAAACTTCGACCATAAACAACGTTGAATCAACGTTGTATATACATTGGCAATATATCCGTATGGTCGTCCATAGTTGAATATTGGTTGAACAACGTCACGACCATATTTCAACGTTGTTTCAACGTTGAAACAACGTCGAGTGCCTGCTGGGAATGAATCTTGACTAAATATATATTCGCACACATAGATGCGATCAATCAACACTATCTTGTGTTCCTTATGTTGCAATCTTTCATTCGATTGATTGGAATATAAAGGTCGGCATAGCTATGGATAAACACATTTAAACAAATATGAGCCGCGTCATGACAAAACCAACATAATGGGTTTGCGACCAGCATGGATCCAGACCAGCCTGCGCATCCGCGCAGTCTGATCAGGATCCATGTTGTTCGCTTACCAACCCTGTTACAGGTACAGAAACTGATAGCGAACAGCATGGATCCTGATCAGACTGCGCGCATGCGCAGGCTGGTCTGGATCCATGCTGGTTGCAAACCCATTATGTTGGTTTTGTCGTGACACGGCTCATATATGTAATACATAAAAAGCCATGAACAAGTAAACAAAAAGTGACATAATAATGAAATAGAATTTCACATCTATGCGATTAACATATTTCTAGTGATCATGAACAAAATAATCTTTTAAAGAATCGTCACTGATATGTATAATTGTTTAGCCATAACCTTCTTTTTTAACGCAATAACAACAATTCATCATTTTTTTACCCACACTATTCTAACTTAATCATTTTAAACTAATTAAAGAGTAAAACTACCTACATAACAAACAAATTAAAATAATTACTAAGAGAAGCCTTTGTCACCTGTACTTTGTCGAATACAGTCAACTTCATCAGATGCATCTAAACAGTCTATTACAGTATCACATTTTGCAGCCATTGAAATCCATTCCTTACTACCACATTGATGATAGTTTTCTCCTTCGTAGTCCGTTACGTTTAGATTTGTGGAGTGTAATTCAACGTTTTGTGTTAGATCGTGTTCTAAATAGTAAAAAAACGAATAGTGTTACATACAATAGAGAAAATGAATGCCAATTTATTGTGACCACTATCTCAAAGTATTATCGTAACTCGAGTGTCTGTGCCAGTATAACGTATTATTGTAAAGACACCAAATGGACAGATTCCTACCAAATTGATCATATCACAGAGCCAAACAATATGCAAAAACACAATACGTATGCAAAAACACACGTATTGTCATGGCTTTTGTGATTTTGTTTTCAAATTCCACGAGAAATGCATGATGCGTTACACAAAGAATACAACGTTTAAGCATGTCCACACAAAATATTGAATATATTTAACTGAAATTATAAATTATGTGTCTCCTCTTTCTAAGTTTTAAGATCGCTGAAAAAATAAGTGTCTTCAACATTTGCTGTTTGGGGCGTTTTCTAGGACACCTTCGTATTGTACTTTAACACAATATTAATCCCCTGTTTAATTGTATATAATATATAACTATATTAAGTGCATAATATATTACACTATTTTTTTAAATGAAACTGACGCAAGACATTATAAACACTCCTAAATTATAACGTTGTTCCTACCTTCCATGGTGCAATTCACTTCGTCGGTTCTGTCTTCACAATGAAACATTTTATCACATTTATTCACGAACGGTATACGGCGCCCCGTAGAGTTGCATACAAAAAAATCATCAGGACTGTCCATTATCATAGAATCAAGACCAGTTTCTATATTTGGAAAAAGTCCTTGTTGGGTAAACATGTGTAAATTTAAACTTGTTAATTAATATAAAAAAAGGCAAAACTTAATACGTAAATTGTTTTGGTTCAAAAGAAATGTACATGAAAATCACAGAATCGTGATCGTGTTCTTAATATATGGATATAACTTAAATATCTTCCAAAGAAAATTATCAAAACATGATTTCGATTGTTGATTGTGATTGATATTTAAAACACAATATCTGCAAGACATGTTTCGAATCAGTTCTTATTTTCAGGAACGAAATATGTAAATCAAAAAATTAATCAATATATCGAATATTTCATTGTAATGTTTACATGAAAACGTATTTTTGAATGAAGGTTTTTATCATATGCTGCCGAGAATGTTAAATAATCATAAAATGTTCAGACAAAGGTCAATCTATTGTAGTGCGATTAAGAATCTGAGTTCTTTTTTATGGCTTAAACTCATTTTGAACACCATTTTAGAACAACAAAAGCATACGTGAAAAGAAACATGGCTCCCACGTCGACATGCTGTCATTCACGTAGCAACCCATTAATCCAGAGCGAGATGGATCTTGACATAATGTAGAATTTCTCTTTAAAACTTCTTTTCGTCTGCCAAATGTTTTATTGAAATGTATCAATGCATTATTCGTTAGATTACTCCAATTCTGACACAACTTCCCAGAGTAGGAGTAATCTATTTTTCCTCTATTTCTTTTATACAAAGTCTTACACTTTCTTTTCTTTAAGACAACTGTAAATAAATATGTTACAATATATTTATTTAAAAATCAGGTAAGCTATAGCATTTATGTATTTTAACTGCACATAACAAATAGAATGTTTGTTGTTTGAGTTTTTTTTACTGAAACAATACACACCAATACATGAATACCTTGCTTGCTTAAAACTCACAAACATAAATAAAAAAGGAACAATAAGTAATTTCAAAACGATAATAAAAGAGTTACATGTACATTTCTTTGATATAATATTCAATGTTATTTATGTTATTTGCTAAAGTACATTCAAACGTTCAAATGCGAAATAATCATACACATATATTTCTTATTAACCTTTTTAATTCTTTATTGTCTGGCATTCGCAATACGTAATTGTTTGGTGACATTAAACATTTAAACATTTAATGACTCAATCAGAGAAAAGTCAAAAGAAAAACATACAAAATGATAATAATGTACAGGAACGGCGTCAATTAAAAAAGATCAATTACTTCTTTTGTCCCATTTACCCAATAAAAATTCTAAGATATAATCATATTAGACCTTTATTTATGACGCAACAACGTTAAATGCTCGATTTGTTTGCAAGCTTGCACAAATTGACCTATGAAAATGAACAAAAGTAAATTACATTTGGCTTTCCTTTTTTCATTATAATCCGACTGACAGATGAAATAATCTGCATGATCATTGTGACAATCTTCTGATTCCCATGTTCTGTTCATAATAAATGACCGAAAGTTTGTGCAAGTACAGTCTCCAACTGTTGGCCCACCAACTGCCCTGAAATGTTTGAACGAGGACATTTTCAACAAAAATATGTTCAGCACAAGTTAACTGAAACGAAAATACATCTAATACAAAATAAAACATGAATCGAAGAAAACGTGTTACTTATTTGGTGTAAACAAAATAATTTTGATTGCTTTTAAAACTTTGATAAACAATTGGCATAAATACGTGCAACAAGCGTTTAATAGTCGTGCTGTGGTTGTTGATGCTGTTGCTGCTGATTCGGTTTTGATAGGTTGTATTAATATTTATTATTTGATTGAGTTTGTGTGTCTGTTTGTTTAATTTTCTTTTTTTCTTTGTCAGAAAAAAACTTAAACATTTACAGGTTAATTTATTGAACACAACTATTTAAAACATGACCAAAGATGAATGTGAAAAAAGTTAGTTTTTAGATATAGGTTAACTAGATATTGTATGTAATGATACAACAATTACTATTGAGGCTATTCGTTGCCAAAAATCCAGCCTTGTTGATCTGAGTTGAACAGTTTGTTAACTGGCAAAATTCAATTGTATTTCATTGTATGTAAACTCCAATGTTGCATTCTTGGATTGAGTTTGCCGATTTAACATTGTAAACATGTATTTCAACAAAATACATTTTGTTAAACGACAAAACATTAACTGGTAGTCTGAGAGTAGCAATAAAAAGTATTCATCATAACATGCAGAAAACTCATTGTTCGTGTACACGCCGCCAAAAAAGAAGTTACTTTCTTAGCTTTAAAAAGTCAAGCCATCATAATCCTGATAAGCATAATCCAGCGCTTTGCACGTTTTTCATTAATAGATAAAATAAGCTCCGCCCATTTTTCTGCCCACTACATCATCGTAAATAAACGTATTTATCCGCTCATTTTCGGTATTTACGGTTAGCGACAGGAAGGAAACAAGGACACGCACTGGCGTAGTTTCCGTAAATAACACATTTTAGGTGTTAAGTTATTCACCAAACATAATTCACTTGCATGTTTGTCATTCTATGCCTTAATACAATCAACATCAGCGGACTTTAAATTATTATACTGTTTTACTCAACAGGTTACATACTGCCTGATGTTAAATATTTTTCAATGAAGTAAAACCTAGTGATAAGACTACATTCAATGACAAATAATTTTTACTGAGGGGATTACAATTTGCATAGGAATGAGTAACATTGACAGTTAAGCTTTCAAATTTTCAAGTCAACATCTGATAGAGAATTTGACTAAATACTAATACCGACCAAATTCTGGCTATTGTCTTTCCTACCAGTAGCATTTACTATTACATTAGTAACCTTAATCATGGTTTATGACTTGACAAGAAAATTGTTTTAACAATAGTAAAATTAAAACCAAAGTTGTATGTACCCTTTCGTGCAGAACTTTTTATTTTAACCTTACTGTATAGATAGATATATTTTCCCACTTTTACCATTATTTTCAATAACAATATTTAAATGAGTCCAAAAGGTATGTATGTTGATTAGCAATTTATGTATACCTTGTTTATTCTATCTCTAAGAAAGCCATCACTTACAAAACTTAAAAATATTCTGTGTAATATTTTATGTACATAAATATATTTCTCTGCTTTTGATCAGAAAGACAGCAAGTCTAAGTAGCAGCTATTGACAGCATGTATACACAGATTTTGGGCTGTTATTGATTCAGTACAATGCATAAGAAGACCTAAACCTACGTCAGCTTACATATTTTATAATAAATAAAGGCTAAATCACATCCTATGGCTCAAAATACCTCCCAATGGAGGTAAACAGCGATGCAAGGATACACTTAAAATTTATTTTATCATTAAAATGGGACAAATTTACAAGTATATGGTTATACAACGGAGTTATCGATAGTAAACTTTAAATAGTTCTAAGTAAACAATTTGGGATTTTCTACAACCCAATATAGTACTTAAGAGAAAGAAGGCACAGGCTTGTTGTTCAGCTCTTCTTTTTGTGTTGCTAAAATGACTTCCATTTATCGCATTTTGGTACTGTTTGCTGATTGTAAAATATATGCGTTTGCGTTCTACTGTTGTAATGTTTGAAGGCACACAAACCCTATCGATGCCTAAAAATGTGGTTTGTGTCCTTATATATGGGAAACATACCTTTACGTTAATTCATCATTTTTAGTTTTCGCATATTATTATGCCCATTATCAGTATAAACGTTTTTACATTGTTACATTGTATCTTAACCAATTTGTATTACTTGAATATCCTGTACTAAAATACGTTTTAACAGAATCATAGGATGTTCAAAGTCAACTGAAATGCAGTTGATGTATGTGAAATTTATAACAGATTCCAAATGATTTGAAATATTGTTGAACCAGCAAGAGTTACGTCTCTTTATTTTCTGCTTTCGTGAAAATTAGCCCCGCCTGTTCATTTTCGTTTATTTCCGTGAAATTCCATATATGGAAGTTGCAAAATCGTTTACAAATGTTCATCGTGTTAGAATGTAAAAGGAAAGTGTGGTGTTTGTAACCTGGGTGTGTCAACTGATGCAGTTTCATTTTCAACGTCATGATGCACAGCATTAAAGGTGTTATGTATGTTCTATCGTTTACATTTCTACATGTCGCAAATTTGAAATTATACATTCATAAATACAGTTTGCAATTTATCTTAGTTGTATGTTTACAGCTTCAATTTTATCAAATCGAGAAAATTAAAATGCTTAATACCAGTGCAGTATGTAACTCTCGGATCGACAATTAGATTTTTACTAATATGTTTAGAATAACCAAAGTTTGCATTGTCAAGTTTCAAAGGCTTGATTTTTGGCCACGAATAGCCTTCATACAATTACATCCACCAAATCTGCTGAATATTGCGGTGCTGACCTTCATCATAAATCTTTCCGTTCGGTCTTTAGCAAATCAGGTTACTAAGAAGGCTAATGCAAAAATTATTATTTTTTGTACAGAAAAAGTTCTTTTTAAATAGGTTTATGAAATATCTTTAAGTTTCTACATTAATACAATGTCATTTTGATTATGTGTGTGCCTCCTGGTATTTGCGGCTGAGCCAAAATCTGAAAGATAAACCTTAGGCCACACAAAATAAGATTGTAAGATTTATACTTAATCTCAGTACTCGTATAGGAACGGTTAAGTTTGTGGATGTTGGTTGATTACCAGTACATTTTAAGATGAATTTTTTATCCTTGGTCATGTACATAAGATACACGATAATAATGCATATAATTATTAAAATGTTTCGGAATGAAGATATTTGTATATAATGGTTATCCGGACTGAGGCATGTAATTAACACATCTTAGGTCCATAACAAGTCATGACCTTTTTCAATAAAAAACTAAAGGAACATTTTATGCAATCAATATCTGTCTAGTCCTTTTTATCCAGTCATTTTACTCTAACTTTATTATTATTATTATTATCATAATTATTATTATATTACTTTTGTTCAGTGTATAATTTTAGTAGTACCTATTCATTGTCAGACATGTTCTGTCATAACTATGATAATAATATATGTGTTTCGCAATTTGTGATGTGACTATATCATAACTTGTATAAGAAACTTCAGCAACTTGTGATTGAACTTTTATGTGCAATATCTGGTAATAGTAATTGTTTTGCCTCTCTGGTGTCACATGATCAGTTCCAAGGACCACAATGGAAACAAGTCAGCTTTGTTTCCTTTCTTTGTAATATATGTGGTATTATTCTAATTATCTAATTATCATCATGTCATTATAAAGGACTATAATGACTAATCAATATTGTTTACCTATACTTAACTGATACATATTTCAAGTTAAAATGTCCTTTGTGCTGTTTAAAATATCATTTTTTTACAAATTAAAAAACACTATTTACTCTACATATTTTTTTTCAATTTTCATACATAAGGCCAGTCAGTAATCACACGATAATTGAACTTCACATAAGGGTTTTAATATTCGCAAAGTTTGCGGCCACTATTATTGCGCGACAGTTTGTCGCCGCGAAAATGCCATCCATATAATAAAAGCGAAATAATGTTTCAACGAAAGTTGCTAGGTATACATTTTCATGTTCATTTGCATATTTTAATGTTGACATTGAATTTGTAGTTGTTGTATGACACGTATTTTTAATGGAATAAAATACATCTATACATATCACTGCCACATTATGTTTATGCATAATTATAACATAGTTACCATGGCGAAAAAATTACTTCATAATTGTTCAACCAAACAAATTGTTCTTGTCTATCTGTAACCATTTTGCGCTTTAATCCTGAAAAATGAATAAATCTATATATCAATCACCACAACACAGAACATGGTTTATAGTATTTCGTATCACTCAAGTACACATTGCGACTGGTTACGCAGTGAGTGCTCATAACATAGGGTGGATGTCTTTACATAGTAAAAGAGGTTTCAAGCATTGGCGTGCGTGCGTGTACACTATTGAATAAAATGTATTATAGTGATGGCTATAACTGGCAAATCGTAAAAAATCTATAAATTGTTTGCACTAAGTTTATTCTGTCACAAATGCATAAAACACAACACAACATAAATGAACCGAGTAAGTGAAGCCAGAAATTAAAATGTTGTCATAGCTTCAAAAGTCAACTCACCAATGTGTGCTTTATAGCTTGAACCTTTTGAATCACTAATCCCAGCTCTTCCATCAATGTACCTCTGTTCACGAAGTAGGTAGTTTATGTACTGTAATTCTTTTGGTGACTGTATGGTTACAAGAAGCTGATCATTATCCCCACACGCAGTACCAGCTTCATACCAGGACATCGATGATGAAACTATGTTGTAACACTTTTTAAATTTCCGCGAGCAAACTGCAAAAGTAACATGAGCTTTCGTTTCGACTTCTTATCACATTTCGTAAATGTTAAGTATTAATTCGTATAATATAAGCTACTACTTCACAGTTCCCACGTTATTCTAGATTCCTATGTTACGGGATAGTCACGATGTAAAATGACTTTATTAAACTATTGCCCTTTGCCCTTGATTTATGTTAAAATAATGTTTTCTTATTCTTCATCAACTTTTCATTTTCCGAAAACTTAGTTTTACTTATTTTGCTTATTCCCATTTCAATACTTATATACAAATAACAATAATGTTTTCAACTGAAAAGTAATGGTGGCTTTTCAATGACAGTTTTTCACTAAAACAATGTAACAAATAAACTAAGTAAAACATATGCTCAAACTTATTATACAGTGAAATAATTATGCATGACAGTTCTCCAAAGTATTAAATAAAAATAACACAGTTCAGATTACATACAGCTTCAATATTAATTGAGTTCTTATCATTAACACTGGCCCTTTCGGACGATCACTCATAAATTGATTAATTTATTATAATTAGTTGCATGTTTGTAACGACACGCAATATTTTATGATAACTATATGGCTTGCCGTTTGATGAGCAGGTAAGGTATTAATTTCCGATCTTTTTCAAAGCAAATTGGATAATTTTCTCACATGAGATACTAGAGTATTCAAACACACAATAGCCAGCTCATTTACGGTGGCACACATGTGACATGTGTGTGTACTATGTTATGGCCACGAGTAACTATGTCGTTGCCACGAGATAACTAAGTCGTGGCCACGATATAGCTAAGTCGTGGCCACAAGATACTATGTCGTAGCGACGAGTTACTTAGTCGTTGCCACGAGATAGCTAAGTTGTGGCCACGGGATACTATCTCGTGGTCACGAGTTACTATGTCGTGGCCACGAGTTACTAAGTCGTGGCCACGAGAAAGCCAAGTCGTTGCCACGAGATACTATGTCGTGGCCACGAGTGACTAAGTGGTGGCCACGAGATAGCTAAGTCGTGGCCTTGAGATACTATGCCGTGACCAATAGTTATTAAGTCGTGACCACGATATAGCTACGTCATGGCCACGAGTTACTATGTCGTGGCCACGAGTTACTATGTCGTGGCCACAAGTTACTATGTCGTGGCCACGAGTTACTATGTCGTGTCCACGAGGTAGCTAAGTCGTGGCCACGAGATAATTAACTTATCAGAATACACTATATATATATTATGAAATTTATAAACTTTATAACTTACTTTTACATGCAACATTAATCTTTGAAAATACTGAAGAAATTCACTTTGAACTTGTCTTTAGGATCATATTAGAAAGTCACCTTCCAAGGCCCATCAGACATTAATTTTGACTAGAGCTCTTTGTTGGGACAATTGTGTGATCGAATTGGTCAGTTTGTACGTTCTTCGGCCTGTTAACCTTATTTATATGATATCATGAGAAGGAATAAGTCCTGGTTTTTTTATTTGGAAGGGAAACTGTCCATGGACAGTAGATAGATATTAGCCTATAAGATAAATCCTTGTCTGATGAATAATTTAGAAGGGATAAGCCATGGTTTATATAACCCAAGAAGATCATTGCACCTTATTAGAAGATGACATCTAATAATTTCGAGGTAATTGGGTCAAAAATCAGGGTCGCAGTGACGCTAAATGTAAAATTATTGGCAAGTCATTCATTTGTATAAATGACACTTTTACAGGCTGGTGAAGTAGGGACATCCTTGTACTATAGCACATGTCTAGTTATTAAGGGAAATTGATATAAATGGTGCTTTCTGATTGGTTATTTATCTCTCGGCCACGACTTAGCTATCTCGTGGCCACGACTTAGTAACTCGTGGCCACGACATAGTATCTCGTGGCCACGACCTTGCTATCTTGTGGCCACGCATAGTATCTCGTGGTCACGACATAGTATCTCGTGGCCACGACATAGTATCTCGTGGCCACGACTTAGCTATCTCGTGGCCATGACATAGTACACACACATGTCACATGTGTGCCACCGTAAATGAGTAGTACAAAGTATCTCGTTGCCACGACTTAGCACATATCTAGTTAATAAGGGAAATTGATATAAATGGTGCTTTCTGATTGGTTATTTATCTCTCGAATACGACTTAGCTATCTCGTGGCCACGACTAAGTAACTCGTGGCCACAAGATAGTATCATGTGGCCACGACTTAGCTATCTCGTGGCCACGACTTAGTAACTCGTGGCCACGACATAGTTACTCGTGGCCACGACATAGTATCTCGTGGCCACGACTAAGCTATCTCGTGGCCACGACTTAGTAACTCGTGGCCACGACATAGTATCATGTGGCCACGAAATAAATAAAAACACACACATGCCACATTTGTGCCACCGAACTCATTTGACAAAATGAGATTAAAGGAGGAATTAGACAAGATGGATCTCAAATGTAGTTAATTACCTGTTGATATATTTGAACCCGTCATGTCGCCATCTACAATGTGAAGTCATAGTATTTTTAGTGATTAAAGAAATCATTGTATGACACTAATGAGATATGTACGAGACAAACATTGTTTAAACTTCTTACGTAACGACGCGTCTGCTATCTTTGTAAATACATGTGTATTACTCGCAATGTATAATTCTTCAAGAAGTTCATTATTGAAAATGGAAATAAGTGACATAATTACTATTGAAATGTATATGAATAACTTTACTTGAATATATATATATTAGATATGTCCATTCAAATGAATCTACCTTTTTCGGAAATTTCTGTCCAGTTGGCTAAAGAGTAGCTTTTTGTCCTATAATGTAATCGAAATCCCTCCTTTCCTGTAAAGACTTTAGTCGGGTCTTCGTATTTACGAAATACAATCAACAAAGTGCCTTCTTCGGAGCTGATTATTTCCGGAGGTTTATTTGTGTTGCAGTATGTATTTTTTTTGTCGCCATTTCTTTCAATTACTGTGAAGCGAGAGCGACTCTCGGATATTTCTAAAAAAATAAAAGATGTTCATAATGTTCATATTGTTCAATAAACAAACGATTGTGTTGACGATGTATTGTTAACAGAGATTCGAGTGAAGTTAGTTTTCATAACGTATAATTCAGCTTTTATAATTCATTATCCGTCTTTTCAGCTTTTTAAGTCTATTACGCAGATATTTGATAAATATTCTCCTAAGATTACTGAAAATTGTTTGTGAAATGTATGATTATATTGATTTTACTAACATCAACACATCTTTTCAGAAGAACGAGAAATTCCCTTTCATTTTCTACAAAGTATTTATTAGTTTGACAACAGATTTGTTTGCGATCAAGAAAATCAATATCACGAACTTTCAATGGGTCCATTGTAAAGCTATGAAGATCATCAGGAGAAGAAAGTTTATTCAGTAAAAAATGTTGCATGCAGTTAAATTAAGGAAAACGACGTTTACCTGTCGGACATACAATATAAAAGTCTATAAACTCAATCTCGATGCCATGATGATTTTTAGCCCGAATTTCATATTTTTCTTCAACATTGTCAAACGGAATATTCAAAATAGACATTGACGTGAGTATCATTTCTGGAAGTCTGCATATCTCTTTCCTTCCTTTGCTCCAATTTACGCTCGGACCGATGAATAAACAAGCTGGAATATCTTGAACACCAATTCAAATAATTAGTTTAATGTATACTAAACAACGAAGAATAATAATTGTCACAGTAGGTACTAAAGTAAATTATGAAAAAGATAAATTGCATATCTTTAAAAATAAAGTAAAAAATCATAGGTTCCAGCCAATAAATGAAACTTTGCTTGAAGTTTGTCTAAATGATAATCCTATTTTATAACAGTTGAGCTACATAATTATACTTGTTAATGTTTATTGTGTCGAAGATCCTCACTTCAATTTGATTATAAGGTAACCTACCTTCTTTACTAACAACTGCACGAAATTTACTTGCTTTGTATTTATGTAAACATGGATGAAATGTCATTATTAAAAACGTCTCTTTTGTTTCAATAATAAATACTCTTTCATTAAATTTTTTATTTATTTCAGTCCCATTAAAATAACTTCCTAGAATGAGTTTGTCGACACAGCTGTCATCATCATTTTGCACCTGAAGTGAAAAGAAAATGATTATTGACCGTGACTCTATATTCATTACATCTCTTATTAATTTATATTTAATCTACATTTTTTTTACACTTTTAAAATCGTATTTTTTGTTCAAACCTTGTTTGCACTTATGGCGTCCGCTCGGTTAGAAATATCATCGGTCCTGTTATTCTGGTGTCGCCAATTGAAATTTCATCGCGATAATTAGCTCCATGGTCCTTTTTCTTGAACCATTGATTCATCGTTTACTTGAACCGACCGCCAAGGTGTGACCAGAAAGGTGTCAAAACAGTTTTTAAACAAAAACTTCCTTTTGAAATTTTAACACAAATACTTAAAATATCTTTTTTTAGAACAAAAAGTGTTGCAGGTGTTCGTTTTATGATTCTTACGTTATCTTCTTCAAGGACAACTATAACAACACAATTACAGATTGAAAATAAAGTGCACATATTTTGGAAATTATGACACGTCTTCGAAAAAAGAAATGAAATTCATGGTTTCACTTAATGAGCAGCCCATATAAAATGTGGTAAGATTTAATATAATCAGGTCAAAGAAATAAAACAGTAAACTTACGAGCAAACGTCTAGAATTTTATTTTCTTACACTCAAACGAATTAACAACGTTTTGTGCATTCTACAGATTAAGATTTAAGGCTGATTCTGAATCATTATTTTAACTTCGTTACATATAGTCTGTGGTAATTGCATAGCGATTACAACTACAAAATGACAATCCTTCCGATAATTTACATAAAAGATCGCACGTCGCAAGTTGTTCGGCTCGTGATTGGCTAATTCGCATAGCCATATCCTCTTAGCGATACATTTAGAACTTTAGCCTATCGTTGATATTCAAACACGAAATTCATGACGGACAAAAGCAAATGATGTTAAGAAAATGAACTGAATAAGCTTGGAAGCGAATAATCACAAACGTAACTGTGGCATATGAATACACGTACATGCCAATCATAACCAATATAATTTTAATGCAGACAGTTTGAGCTTTTCGTTTTGTCTGTCGTGTCTTCTAGAATGTTTTCATGTTTAAAAGAAAACATTAGGGTATAATAATGCGTATTAAACATAAACTGTAATGTATACATTTTGAAGGCTTAATAAAATATTGTTATTTATTCACTTTAAATTACTTTTACTATTTAAAGCCATTCTATATTATTTGAGAAGGTTAGTCATTACAACTGTTACAGATTGCTTTAGATTCAAGTAAAAGATTAGCTGTCACACACTGTATTCTGCTGTTTTTTGTTTAAGATAAGCAGTGCGCCTATCGGGCTGATAAGAATATTATCTCTGTAACAGTCACACAATGTGCACACTTCTGAAACGGGGAGATATTTCTTTGTTAGAAACGAAAAATGTTTAAAATTCACAAGCACCGGCTTCAGTGGTTTTCGTGCTTGACACTCTAAGGAAGGATTTGATAAATATATATACACAGACATTAGGCAAATGGAATGTTAGTGTGCCAAACAGCCTGTCTTGTGTTTGCTGTTGTAAGTATAAAAAGGTAAGTTAGTCATGTTAATGTTTGTGAAAATGAATAACATGTTGAAGAGATAATTGCAAAAGAATACAAAAAACATCAGGTCTTGGTTTTGTAAAGAAAAAGAAAAATCTGATACATATACATCACCATACATCTGACATGTTTGGCATTTCATAACTGGTTCCTACTGACATAACTATAAAGGTGTAATTTAGTTTGGTTAAACAATTATTTAGTGATCATGGCTTTAAGTCCACATATATTCTTGTATTTTCAACATGCAAAGTAAGTCAACTGTAGAGCAATTACAGCAACAGTTTGTTTTTTGTTTTTTTAAAAGGAAACATTATCGTAAATATTCACAATCAATTAACCTCTCTAGAGCAATATTATTCAGCAGAACTTCGCTCTGCACAGCTTGCATTGTATTTACTGTACGGCGAAAATTCATATAGCGGTTCAAGTTTATCGTCAATAATCTTTAATGCATTATTTAGTTTATTAAGATATAATTTTGTAATTATATTTTTTCAGACCGACATCCCTTTCGCAGTTAAGGTGATACGGTCAAAATAACCAAAGAGCATTTCGTTGGCCGTCGGAAATATTCCTAATCAAAGGGCCATTAGTACCAAAGTGCTCTCCTAGTGACAGTTTGTGTGGGAGAAGTGAAAGGTAGATTTCATTACAAGAATTTGAACAAAGTTTGTCAATATATCATTTTTCATGCATTTTTTAAAATATATTTTATACGTGGTCCTAATTACATAGCTGTTCACAAAAACAAGACACTAAGTCAATATATAGGTCATTTGATTTTCAGTTATACGACTGAAATTGTGCAACTGGTCAAAATGGTATAGCTTTATATTAAAAAAAACAAAAGATCTAGGTTAGCTAAGTTCAATACTACATCTGAAATTGTGCAAATGTCAATAATTCATGGATGTACATCAAAGGACAAGAAAGAAGGTCACTTTGCTAAAAAATGCAGGTCAGCTGATATCAAAGTTCAAGTTACATCCAAATCTGTACAAATGATCTTAATTTTAAAGATGTACATCACAGGACAAAAAAGGAGGTCATATTATCAAGATCAGCTAATATCACAGTTTAGTTTGTCATCTAAAGCTGTGTACGTGGTACTAATTACAAAGCTGTACATCATTTTAACATTTAAAACTGTGCACATGATCAGACTTTCATAGTTGTATAAAAACGGACAAAAGTTGGTCACTTCAGCTAATATTATAATTCATTTCTACATCTCAAACTGTCCACTTGGTTCAACATATTTCATGGATGTACACCAACGTACAAGAAAATGGGTCACTGGATTCCCTTGAGCAGGGTTAAACTTTGAGCAAAGGGTTTTCTTCATACAATCTTGATAAGGTATACCAGGCAATGTTTCATTCCGAATATCTAAGTTCAAGCTCTTTTCTTTTAAGATTTTTGTTTCATTTAATGTGTTAACTAAATATACATAATGAAAATCAATAACCCCGGGTTTTAAATTTTAAACCCAGAAGTATTAAGTCAACAATCTTGGTAGAGTCCACTAAACTATGTTTTGTTCCATCATATACAATATCTAGCCTTTGTCAGTTCAGAGAAGATTACTTTTGTTTTTACTTCATACACATAAGGAAAACATATGACTCTACGGGTTGTGGCCAATTTTGGAAAAATAGGGCAAAATTTGAACAACTTTATTAATGGATTTACAGATGATACAATATACCAAATATCAAAGCTCTAAGCCGTGTACCGTCAGACAAAATGACGTTTTAAGTGTTAACTATATGTGTATTGTTTGAAAATCAATGACCCATTTTGGCCGTGCTAATTTCTATCCCAAGTCTACGATTTGAAATTCTTGGTAGGGATCCACTATACAATGTTTAATGTTAAATATCTAACCTCTATCCGTTGTCATTCATGAGAAGACTGTTTAGGTTTTTACTATATACATATAAGGAACACCTATGACCACCGGATAGGGCAAATTTTGACACTAGGAAAACAAGTTTAACGACTTTGGTAAATGACCTTAAGCTGATATCATATACAAAATATCAAAGCTCATGGCATGATGATTTCAAACAAAAGAATGTTTTATAATTTGCATTTTTGAAACTCTTTTCTGGTCCAGTGACCTACTTGTTCAACAGACCGGAACCCTTCGGACAACTCTGAACTGGGACTACCCAATAATCATGTCTGTAACGGTTTGCTTTTGTGCAGTCATAGGTTTCAGAGGAGATGTTGTTTAAAGTAATTGGTGACGACGCACGATGGACGTTGGGGGATAACACTATCACATCAGGAACACGTTGTGGTCAGGTGAGATTAACATTACAAATTTCTTATTAAAGGTCGCATACATGTTTTTACAGTACTAATAATTGTTTGCGAAGCCTTAAGCCTTCTAGCAGATAATTGTTATAGTTTATCACACTTCGGAACATATGTGTCACAAATAGTTTTGACTAGATTAACATTTGTTAAATTTCAACTGTTGTCAAGACTTGACAGAATTTGTTAAATCAATTTTCTTACGTATGAGAACCATCTAAATGTATACATAGTATCAAGTCTTACCATTTTGTTCAACTTCATCTCTGTGAAGATTAATCTCACATAATGCTGGCGATTAAAATCTATTATCCACGAATAAGAGTAGCCACTTTCTGTTTGAAAAGGATATCCTAAAGACATTATTAATGAAGCCTTTTGAACATATAGTGCGTTTGTTATTATCGTTGCATTGTCCTCTATAAAACTTGGAAACAGTTCTACAGCACCTGAATAAAACATAGGTTATTCCATATTAGGTTACTTTTTTGTTCTTGTTTTTTCTTTATTATCTTCAAAGTCACAAAATGTAAAAAATATTTGATATTTAAAAGAAAATTTCTTTATCCTTGCAATTGTACTCTGAAAGTTTGAATGTAAAAGCTTTATGTCAATTAAAAGGGTGTCCGTAGGACTTGAAAGAAAACAATATCGTAATATATAAATAAATAAGTCAAACGAAGTCCAAAAAGAGTATTGTATACAGTACCGATCTCATTTTAGGTTGACATCATGTCAGATCTAGTGCGTGTATTTGAGAAAAAGCTTCAAGGTGACTCTTTGCGCTAAGTCTGCAATAACATGATGGGGTTGATTCAATCAAAAGGTATTATCACTGGACAATTATCTTTGGATTGAACATGCGGAAACATAAAGAATTAAGATATAAAAAAGAATATGTATACCTGAAAGTTTACATCCATGAATTTCAAACCGAAGACATATTTTGTTCGCCGCGTCACCTTCAAGTAAAAGCAACTTGATATAACGAGCTGTAACTGGGGTTATAAGCAAAAAGGATCTATGCTCGTGATGCTTTGATTGGTCATAATCAGTTCCAAGCTATAAAATAAAGCATACAATGGAAACAATTATGCAAGCATAGACACATAAATACATTTTTCACTCAAGCACGTAAATAGATTTTCCATCATAAATCTTCGCTTTGACAAACTTCTTGAGGACAATTTTTTTTACCAAAAACTGCTGTTTTTTATACGAGGAATGTTCAAAATTGATGGCATCTAAACATGTCAAATTTGACTCTTAACATGTTTCATTATATTGTCTTTAATTTTGTTCTCTCAACGGATTTATCTGTAACAGATGTACACATTTTCATACACTAGTTCTGACGGCATTTTCTTCTATGAAGACAGGTGTAGAAATATACCTATACCATCCCTGTATTTCCAAAATGCCAAAAATACCTTAATTTAAGCAGCATGCATTAACATTGTAAATATATATTTTCGGTGGTTTATAGAAATATATCAGTGATATAAAACTGGTAATTCATTGTTTGAAACAGTGAAATTACAATTTTGATAATTTCACTGTTTTGAATTTAAGCCCCTTACGATGTTTCAGTGAAATACCAGCGTGCACAATACTGGGAACCAACTTTATGACGTGACGTCGTAAATGACGTCATGTTGTATTATTATTTGGCGCGCTTTTCATTCAGTATTAGGTTTAATGTCTTTTAAAACGTTTCCTTGCATATAATAAAAAGAAAATTTGTTTAGTTTAGGGTAAGATCGAAATACATTTCACCTTGTGAACACCAAAAGTTCATATTTCACTCGTGGCTGCGCCACTCGTGAAATATACCTTTTGGTGCTCACTCGGTGAAATATATTCCGATCTTACTCTGAACTAAACAAATATCCTCTATATGTACGGTTGTTTTTTTTAAACTGGAAATAAAATCATTAAATTAACTTTGATAAGAAAATCTTTTTTTCTGTTGGACGTTGATTTTATCTGTATTACCCCGACCACAATGTCCTAGTAAAAACAGAGGATGGGGAGCATAACAACATTGTTTGCTTTTTAAAATCTTGCACTTTAAACGCTTTATACGATTGTCAGTTGCCTTGCAGCAATTTGGTACAGGTCAAACGTTTTTCGAAATCATTTGTTTTTGTTTTCAAAGAATCATTTTATTTTGTCTTGTAAAATTTCGAATTAATTGGTTTTCTTTTTGGAACTACGACCTGATTGACAGGACCAAGCGTCTTAAAGACACTTGTATACATTACGTTCTAAATATTGATGACTTATTTGCAATACATGGTCCTTTGCAAAGCCAGACTTGACACAGCCAAAATCATTTATTGATTATTTTTGTTTTTGCTCACATGTTTGTAAAAAGTGTTGGCATTTATAATAGACCATGCATTTGAATTGGAAAAATGTCTTGGCAACACTTCAGCACATACTACGCGAGTCATTTTCCGGTCGTCTTTCAGTTAATTCATCTGTAAATGATCTTTCTTATTTGTAAAAACTAATAAGGTTTGAGAATGGCTTAATGATGTACTTCTAATGAGATTCCAGCAATAATATTTGCATTGGTATATATATCATATATCTCATATTGGTATATATTATTTCTTTCACTTATGCAAACATCTTGACAAACGTTGTTTTTTGGGGACCGACAGTCATAGGGTGTATTTTCTGTCGAAGTAAACCAACATTTGAATTAATTAAACCAACGAATAACAGATGAAAAGGGCATTTCCTGTTGTCCATAAAACATGTGTTTACACTCTATGCCAAAACTTTTTGAATTAAGACCTTTTTTTGATGGCATACTTTAGTATTTTAAGAACCATTTTTGTATCACTTTTTACGAGTAGTCAATGTATACCGAGCTTTAAAACACAGCTAAAGTAAACATGAACTCAATGTATGCCTAACATGTTTATTTAACTAATAACCTTAATTTCCTAGTTGTTTTATTTGTTTTAGCAATATAACAGTAAACGTTTCAGAGACATTCATATCCGAACATTCATCGTAGACAGGTTAGAGGTATCGTAAATTAATTTTGGTAATCCTAAATCACTTGCCTTAATCCGTTACTTAGTCTTTAATTATTAAGTTTCTTGTGTTGTATGAGCTTTACGCCAATATATTTTAAAAAAGAACAAAAAGTGTCTATTTAAATTAAATATAGGGAACATATCACCTGTAATATGGAACGAAATGATATGTCAAATATTCTTAATATATAAACGGCTAAAATAAATGTGTAAACTAATTTTGAAAAAAAAAAATTTCATCCTAAACACTTTACAAAAAATCTATATGCTGACTGTAGCTGCATATAAAGTCATTATAGTTGATTTAATAACATACATAAAGAGGTAAAAGAGATAAAAGAGGTTAGATTGTTTTCCAAATTTCCATCTCCCGGGCAATTAACTAAGTTTGACAAAAATGTGAAATATCTCAAGTTTGGTTTATACATTACCAATTTGGGATAAATGTCTAAATTATTTCTATAGTTCCCATACAGTAGAGTGAATGAGTTCCAGCTTCCTGTCGAATTATCGTGTGTTTCATTTGAAGCATATATAGTAACTCCTTCAATTCTTGTTCTGGATTTCAAATCGACCTAAAAATCATCAAAACACTTCACATTATATGTTAATGCAAATAAATTTACACTTGACAAAGAAAGTTTGAAAATGGCTGAGGTTACCGTTTAACTAAAAAAACTATTAAACAAAACGTGCAAGATATGTTTGGAACTTGATGACAAACAGCGAAATATTGTAGCTTTAATCTTTTTTTTTGGTAATAAAGTACTGTACGTTTCAACAAATACAATCTACAACAACTTTTTGATATTAGCAATTATAAAATATTTACATGAGTCTAGCGTTTGACTTTTTAAAATATGTTTGTAAAAAAGTGACAGCATATATATAATTTAAAAAGCAAAACCCTCATTGTTAGCGATATAATGGAATTTAGATTTTCAAACCATAATCCAGGGAATTTGGTCCTGCCTTCTGTTAGTGCACCAACTAGTTGAGGAAGGTCTTGCCTCGAACGGTTCATGATGTTCTAACCATGATGAGGCAAATATTTGATTTCTTTGAATACTCCAATCACTCATTCCAAGGTCTTCATTACACAAAACTCCATCCACTGTAAAAAAAAGTGTAACACTAATTTGTTATTTATCATATCTACCTTTAAGTGCGAATGTATACATCTCTTATAACTATAAAATACGTTTAGTTTCAATACTTATTACATTTAACAACTTGGATTTATCATATTATGCGAGCCACTGACAAGATCAATAAAGTAGGAACTGAATCTAAAAGAACGTTATATTCTGTAATTTAAAATAAAATACCAAACAGGAAACAATTTCAAAGGTTTTTTCATTTAAGCGCATATAGTGAAACGACAGCATAAACGCTCTATTTCTGATAAAAGCATGTAGCGTTTCGTTACACTGATATTAAACTCAATCAAAAATGCTTGCCGAATATTTGATTATTTTTTCAGCAAATACACAACTGAGCAAAAATTTCTGTAAGGGAATTGAATATTGTTTACTCGGGAGTCTACACATTTGCTTCGAGCTTTGTACGTGAGGATAGCTTATAGAAAACCCGACAAAAATGACATAGCGGAAACCATAGATGCCCCTTTTTGAGTTCATTTGTCGTACATCTTGTTATTGTCTAGTAATAATTTTTTTATTCTGGTTTGGTTAGAGTTGGCATTTAACGGATTGAAATAGTCAAATCTAGACAATTATTGTTTGTTTTTGATGGATTTACTACACACTCGCCGTGGTATAGTTTGTGTGATAAAACTAAATCGATAACATATCAAGACAATATGATTGTTTCGTTAACAACAAGCATATTCTAAATGAGCTTTGAGTAAAATAAGCATTTGATACTGAAAGAGATTAAGTTTCAACAACTCCGTAAAGAATGGCAGTCGACTTGGTGCAATTGTATTGTGAAAGAGAATCAAAGTGATTAAACTGATGATAGTACATCAGTATTTGAAAAAAATATGCAAACTAGCGGAGTATAAACGCTATATTATTTCTATTTCATCGTCTATGCGTCTTACTGTCAGTGGGTGTTTTATAGAAGTGGCTACTAAAAAAAACCTGTGAGCTATGCATACATGCACAACCGTTTATGAGCACTTCAAGTCATGGTAAAGCAAACAAAATGTTAATGTTACACATTCCACGGGTGTAATTAAATAGATCATAATTACAATGAAATTTTCAAATTCACACTTTAAAACATGATATCCAGAGTGTAAAATAAAAGGAATCCTCACATGTTGTTTTGAGAAGGGATAACTAAATAATGAAACTACTAGGTACGCATACATGGTCATTTACAAACACTACAAGTCATGAAAAATCATATATGAAGTATGATACATAATAAGGATTTAATTAAATAAAGTATAATTGCAATGAAATTTTCAAAATTAACTATTAATAACATGATATTCAGAGTGTAAATTAAATGACTCATCTCCTGGTTTTGGAGAGGTGATAACTAAAAAGACTTTAAGCTATGCATACAGGTATAGCCTATCACGAAGGCTTCAAAGATCTTAATGCATAAGGATTAATTGCAACAAATTCTCAAAATGTAGTGTAAAATTAGAAGAAAAACATCTCATTTCATAGAAAAAAGGGCTGATACGCTGAAATGCTTGTTTTTATATAATTATAAAGTGTTGGAATTTGGTGACCTGTTATAATTTCCCCCAAAAGGTTTTGATTGGCGTTAGACCATATTTTGTTTCTGATACATTTTGACAAACAGTTCAGCTATAGTGATTTGTCAATGTGTTTGGAAGTCAAAATTCCGTATTGTTTATATTTTGCTACATTTATAACGAACAATTTAAGGTCAATAGTACTTTCTTCATGTGTTAATTATCTACATCCAACATGTTATAAATCCGTTATTCATTTATTACTTAACACATGTCTATTCTTTCTTAAGGTGGACAATGTATTCATTTTAGAGGATAAATTTGCCCTTGTATTAGGAACTATAATATCCAATGCATGTCCATCATAATTTAATAAAGAACATCTTACTGGATTCCAAATCCTTTGTATAGATCTTAAATGATAGGTGATCCATCAGTTGTGATTTCGATTCCATCGATGCAAAAGTAAGGTAATGGAAATCAAAGGCTATGTAACGGCCACGAATATGCCTGAAATAGAAGAATATCAATTTTCCTAAATGGTGTATTGTTTTAAGTGGTCAGGTATATAGGCGATAACAACTTAATGTGTAACTAGTCCACAAATTGAAAACTCTTTTCTTAAATGTTGAAGAAAATCTAAAAATGAAATAAATGAATAAAAAAAACAATCTGTTTAGATAGCCTTTTTGGGTGACCCATTAATACTCCACCTTTTATGTGATAACTGTGTTTTCGGAGACTATTGAAATTGCATATTAACGGAGACTATTGAAATTGCATATTAACTGATAGTGTTTCACACGGACCTTCGGGAATTATTGCAAATTGCTTATTGTAAGTGCCGATATTACAAAATGTAGCATTTCAACAATATCGTCACTGTATCTTAATGACGTCATTCTGAACATTGATTTCTTATTATGAAATGAGGTTGATATCTTAAAAAGTATGTTTATGTTTAAAATCGCTCTTTTATGTCTTTATTTCATTCTGTATTTCTTTTAAGGGAGAGGTCGGAAAAATGACGCCTAATATATAGATGAATCTAGTTATACTAAGAAAGTCTTATTTAGCCGTTTACCTGCTAAAACCGAATAAAGACTATACTTTGGCACTAACATAAAGCCTGCAAGATGCAAACAATATTCTCTAAATCTTATCAATAGATAACAAAACATATTTAACCTTTCTAACGAAAGTAAAATCCCTATTTATTTTTAATTATTAATCTGCCTTACGTCTTATCTATGATATGCAGGCTTCATGACCTTTGATCCCCTATCAAATTCAATTTTATTTAGTTCCGCCCATAGTTTTTTCGCTAAGAGCACATCTTTTTTTCTTGAGTTTAAGCCGCTTTTCATGGAATGTACCAGTTCATTTTAAATGATGAATTATGCTTAAGCCGGTGCTAGGGTGCGTGGTAGGTAGTTTGCACTTGACAGTACCGTCCATGAACAGGCTCAATCAAATCAAGACTGTAACACCTTCAATGTTGCCGTGTTTGGCTTTCTTTATGGTTTCTTAGTGTCTCTATTTTGATTAAAGCATTAGTAGAGATACTCGATGCATGTTTGTTTTTCACTTCTAATCCCGTGGTACAAAGAAACTTTTAACACACACTTGGTCAATATATTCAATATTCAGTTTATATCGATAATAGGCGAGAAACAAATTTCTACCGTTTCGGCTTTATGGTGAACTACCGGTCGACTTGTTGCGCTAAATTTAAACTCGTAACTGTTTAAGTTTGTTTGTACCCGCGGATTAGCTGTGAAAGAGAAAAAAATCCTCAGTAGGTCTTTACAGCACCTTACGACCAAGCGATCATTGTCATTCTTGTTTGTACGAATGCACTTCAGTGCTTCGTCATAAAGAAATCCAGCATTCATCTGACTATACCAGCATTGCTTTAACGAGTTCTGTATAAGAAACGAGAAAATAAAAATATAGAATATGAAACAAAATTAAATGTTCTTATTTGTGTACAATTATGTGCACTTGTGATCATAAAATACATGTTTTTCTCATGTAATTTAATCTGTATGGATAAAATGGTAAAGACACACATAAACCTAAGTTAACGTCATATTTCTCAGGTGATAAGCATCGCACATGTTTATCTTCCACATTTTGGATATAGCATGCGCATTAAACGTGTCTTGTACATAATAAGTGATGAAATCGTTTGACTCGAGAATATGAGAATAAATACGCACAGCAAAACATGTTTATCGTATACTACTGTAAAACGGAATAGGAAAAGAAATGTTGGCCCTTAAAATTAATGTGCATTGATCCATGATAAAAGGTATGCAATTATAATAATTACGTTTATAGTATTTGTTTTGAGGTAGGCATAACAATAAACTGTGACTATGGGTGTGGTTGGCAAGTATGAGATAAATGATCGGATATAATACATATATTTTAATTAGTAGATAATGAATATTTTTCTAGAAAAAATAACATATACATGTGAATGTTCATGCTGAGATACTTAGAAATTCATCAACATTTTTTCAAGTCTTGTTTTTTATAAGAATATCCAAATGATAGAGTTCGATTGATATTTTCAAAAATAAGAATACTTGAGGAAACTTTTCCTATGGAAGATCACTTTGACGTTTTTCCGGCTTAGACCGATATAAAAAATAAGTTATGAATATACTGTTATAGAATGTCTCGGAGAAACACATATAAAATGAGACGACTTGAGCCAAAAATAAATACAGGAATGTCTCTGAAAGTTACATGTGACCATAACAGTTTTTTCTATCAAATCAATCAAGTTAAACACAACCTTAGAAAATATGAAACTTTAAAATGTCTTAAAATTTAAAACTGATCATATAAGGCAAGGTGGTAATATATCCTTGTTTTCATTTTCAAGTTATACTCAAGAAGTCAATGTCATTTTTCAATTTTGATATATCATATATTACGAGTTTCAACATCAAACATACATTTTTACAAAAGAATACACGTTTTTAGCAGTACACACGTACAGAGAAATTTTTGTCCAAGTGTTTGGTTGGACCGTGCACAAATCTGAAAATAACGTTATTAACATATACCTGATTATCGTAATTCTATTAGCAGACATAGCCCTAATATGAGTCGATTGTCTTTTAACAATGGTTTTGTAACAAATAGAAATTAACAATGATATGGAGGGGCTTCCGTGGCCGATTGGTAAAGACCGTTGACTTAAAATCAATTTTCCCTCACCGCGTTTGGTTCAAATCCCAACATGGACTTTGGATTGTTTTTAATGAGGAAGCCATCCGGCAAGATTACGGAACGTCAGTGGTTCTTCCAAGGTGCCCGTTCGTGCCTGAAATAATTCCAGGAAGGGCACAAGAAAATCTAGAAAGCCATACCTCTACTGTGTTGGTGCGACGTAAATCCCAGCCCCCCCCCCCCCAAAAAAAAAAAAAAAAAAAAAAAAGTTTGATATAAAGTGCACGTGCTATAAAATTATTGCTGTAAACAATTAAAGAAACAGAAACTCACCTCGAGTTCCTCATTGAAAGTCATTTCAACTTTGGACACATGCATAGAACGCCGCAAATCAATTTGATACCATTTCCGGTAAGTAGTCGTTAAATCTTCATTTAATTTATCAAAAAATAATGACATCACAATTGTGCATTAACAAAACAGAATATTTTAATTGTTATAGCAATGAATTAGCTGTAGCTTAATTAACACTAGCTATTTAAATAGTTTGATGCTGAACTTTGACTTATATCTAACGCTGGACTATTTTGTTTAACTAGTATGGTATATAACTAGACTTGAAAAAATAATTAACTGATTTGATAAAAGCATACCGTCATGTTTCGATTTAGTTTCCAAGTGCAAGTTGAAGCCCGAAATCAACACTATGAAATAGGAAATATAAATTACTCACACATTCATAAGAAAAATTATATAGGTGGCTGTTAAAATCCTTTCGAAAGTAAGATTTTGAGTTTGAAGATATACATATATTATATATCTACTTAATAACTGAAACAAAACATATAACTGTAGTCAATAAAATAAAGTTACATGTGACATGTACAATCATTTCACATCAACATCATAATAGTAAATTTTATTCCTTTCTTCTACTTCTAATGAAAGATAGCAAGCAATTAAATACATACGCGCCTCCCTTCCAACTGTATTATCAGCAACTAAAATATACAAATGTTCATGTAGCATAAAGTTTATAATATGATACCAATCAAAGTATATAAAACAAGAGCGGCTATGACGTGATGGTGAGTACATTCAAAATATCCATTGTCTCGACAGTACGTTAACATAAGATACATAAACAGTTGTGCTTTTATATCACGTTTTTGTTTTATATGTTAAATTAACTGTGAATACTAGTATTGCATGACAATATACACATGCTATCCAAACCTGATAATTTCTTTTATTTTTTTTTGTTTTTTTTTATTTCATTGAATGTGAAGTAAGAAACAGATGAGAAAATTACATTTTAAATGTGTTAGTATTACTTCCTCATTAGACAACAACATTAAGCCTAACAAAATGAGTAAGTATTCTATATATTCACGTGTTAAGCTTTGAACGTTACATAGATAAACAGTTATGTAAAATTAAGAAAAATACGTGAAATGCTGTAACCTGAGCCAATGCTGCAGAATTTATTTTTCTGTCTAGAAGAAGTAGACATAGGACACTGAGTTCCTTTCTGAAAGACAAATATTTATACACTGTATATCGATCTTTCATAATATTGTTTTATAAATGACTAATTTCAATATGAGCCAATCAATGGGCATGATCTGTAGTGCGGGTAACTAATACCTGCACTCCAGTTAACGCACTGTGCATGCATATGTATACAATTTACGAGGGGTGCGCAATAAGTTTTGTCCAGTAACGGATTGTTTTAAATTTCTGCACGAAATTCTCATGAAATTATACTTATCATACGCTTCAATGCATTATCTTTACATACATATCCGGTTTATCTTATTCTAATGTATTTTACTTGATATACATGCGATTTAAAACATTGCAGTCAGTCATACCCACTAACGAAAAAAATGGTTGGGAAACGATCTTTGCATTCCTCTGAAATCCGGAGTTATATCAAAGTGCGTCATCAACTTGGAATTGAACCGATAACAATTTACAATGAAATTTGTCAAGTTTATGGAGATAGTGAAGTTTCCTATAGACTTGTTAGAAACTGGATTGCTAAGTTTAAAACTGGTGTTGAGTCTAGCAAAGACGCGGTAAGATCTGGAAGAAAACCAACTGCGGTGACCCCTAAAAACATTAGAAATGTCAGTCAAATTTTAGAAACGGATGCTAGGCACACTTCTCGTGACATAGCTAAGATGGTTGGGATATCAGAAGGGTCAGTGCGCACAATTCTAAAGAAGGAATTAGGAATGAGCCGCATCACCGCAAGATGGATACCTCATTTACTCACCAATGAACAAAAACAGGAACGTATCAGTTGTGCCAAGAAATTGTTAAAAATGTTCCAAGAATTTAACCGTCGGCGTTTGAATAATGTTATAACGGGTGACGAAACATGGGTACACTTTTTCGAGCCACATAGAAAGATAGACAATAAAATTTGGGCCACCAGAAACGCTCGAAGGCCAACAATTGCAAAAAGAACACTGAGTGTCAAGAAAGTTATGAAAGCAGTATTCTTCGACATCAATGACATTTTACTTCAAGTTTCAGTGCCAAGGGGGCAGTCTGTCACAGGAAGGTTCTACAAACAAAAAGTTTGAAAAAATTGAGAAAATCCTTACGTAAACGTCGCCCAGCTACTGGACTCAGGGGTATTTGTCTACTTCATGACAACGCGCCGGCACATACCCCAACGATTGTGAAGGATTTTTTGGCAAAAGAGAAAGTGAAAATCCTTCCTCACCCCCCGTATTCTCCTGACCTTGCCCCTGCCGACTGTTTTTTATTTCCAAGATTCAAAAGAAAGCTTTCAGGTCGGAAATATAGAAGCAGAAGTGTCGTAGGATCCGCTATTCATCAGTGCCTGCTACGCATCCCTAAAAAGGACTTCGAAAATTCATTTCGAATGTGGCTGAAAAGGTTAAAGTTGTGTGTTTCTCACAAAGGAGAATACTTTGAAGGAAATAAACAAAAATAAAGTGTCCTGGTACTGTATTTGTCTTTTTATTTATAATTGGACAAAATATATTGCCCACCCCTCGTAACTCTGACAATTTTCAACAGAAAGGTTCCCAAACTATGATACAAGTATATGTAGATACCGATATTGGAATTATCGAATATTTCGGATTCAAAATGGATGCTTTGTCAAATCGGAATTTTTCTCCGATAATGGTTGTTACGTTAATTTACTAACTACCACTCAGTTTTTTCTTTATATACTGTAATCTATAAAATGTATGAAAACATCGTATTGAACTGAAATGCTTTAAGTAACTTATTGAATACGCCTCAACATTCATAAACAATTGCCCGATGAACAAGCTTGCCGATGATTCCTGATCATATGATTTAGGCAATGACTGATAAACCATTATATTTACGAGCGTATTGTTCACTCTAATTTGTGTACTTTAAGTTAATGAGAAAGAAACTCATTCAAATTGACGATAAATTATTTTGTTTGGAATTTAGTTTTCGCCAGGCAAGCTGTCCTTTGTATGTGTATATCGGGTACGTCGCCGATCATGTATCTTTTTTCAGCGTATTATCTCAACTTAATCCAATAATATACATTATATTTTATGCATATTAACCTTTGTTATGATAATTTATCAACTACAATTAACAAAACTATATGACACAATATTAAGAAACATTATTATAAATACAAATCGATTACAATGTAAAGTTACAGATGTAAATAAATATCACGCAGCAACGTTTACATCTGATCACAGACCTGTGCACAGTTTACTTTGAAAAACAGTTGCTTATATTTACACATTTTTATTTGAAATTCAGAATCAAACTGCAAGACTTTATTTACTATTAAGAATACTTTTAAGTAGGATTTTTATAATCATAAGGATCATTATCGCCGTTAAGTCATTAACAACCCATAATTCGTTTGATGCTTTTGTTTATTTAATTGCAATTATTGATTGTGAAAATTTGTTAAAAATAAGATATGTATTTAACAAATCTGTGAAATAGTGTTTAATTACATTAAAATGAGACTTCAATGAACGTTCCATTGTTTGAAGTAACGGGCATCACTGGTCCGAAGTGGTGCGACCTGTGCTCAAGTAGACCGTTGATCTTTGTTCCTTGTTATTGTCACTTATTTTGAACCAAAGCAAAATTGTTCCTTACTCATCCTGTTTTTAATTAATTTGTCTGGTCAATACTTTATAATGTAATTATATTTCGATACAACAGGATAATTATCTATCGTAAATCTATAGATATGGGGTATTGGCATCACGCGCACCTGTTTATATGGACAATACACAAATCTATCCGCGCCTACTGATTTATAGAAATCAGTGATTAAGCGATTTAAATTTTGGTATCAAGCGTTTAATTTCAGAAAAATTCCAAATTTACTATTAATAGTATTATTTTTCTGATATCATTTTTTTATTCTTACATTGCCTGTCCCTTATAAATCGATAAGCACTTATACCCAAAGTAAGTGTCTGTATCCGTTTACTAGCGTTACCTTTATCAATTTGAAATTTGTTTTCAACATTCCAAACGTAACGTTGCTTCCGATATCATCTGATCCCGTATAGAGTTTGTCACACGTCTCTATACTCAGTTTCTTCCGCTTTGATTTGGCTGTAATAAAATCATTTTGATAGAAATATACGGCTCACTTCACAAAACAGCTTTTCTTTGAACACGAACATGTTATCATTTTATGATAATTAACAAAGTACTGGATTATATAGCTGATGTGCTGTTAATGGTCTTGTTTATAATAGTGTCACCCCTACTGAAAGGGCCAGCCATTTCTGACCTATAAGACATCTTTGGTTGCATACCATGTCCCTCCCAACTCCTACCACTATGCCAGGTACCAGGCGGATAGAAATTGGTCACCATTCATTTTAACTGCCTCGCGGCTCACGAAGCAGCCATTTCGGAACAAGTCCCAAGAGAAACATTCATCCTTGAATTAACGCTACCCGTCGGGCTCGAACCTTCGACCTCCCGATCCGAAGGCGGACGCCTTAACCACTAGTTCAACGGTATCGGTTACTATAAATTTATGTAGAGCATTCATGCGGATTATATGCTAAATTTGTAAAAAAAATATACCTGTCTTGATAACAGAGATGTTTGGAAATATTCCGTACCGATATTCAAAGAACGTTGTTGTTTTTTGGCTATCTTTAAAACCTGAAATGATTTACAAGTGTAATTATTACAAAAAATTACGTATAACAGCAACGCACATGCATAGCAATATAAGCCTCAGTGCAATTTTGTGTAAGTTATTAAAATATAAAGTAAATTAAATCATGTTTTTTGTAAAAGCTCAAGGAGACCCGTTTTTACTATTTCCGGTACATGTTTTATTTAAGTTATCAATATTAAGATTCATATTGATACATGCAAACTAAAATCAATGATTTTGTAAAATGAATAGAGATATTTGTATTATTAGGCTACAGCTTTCGCTGTCTAGTACCAGTCATGTCATTAAAGGGCTAAATTTGAAGCTCAGAGTGGTCACAATTTACTTCCATGCAATTGACACTCACTTTATAATCTGACTGAAAACAACACTTATGTTTGTTTTGTAGTGATGAAAAAACAAACAAACACATAATATTTAACCATAAATTCAAAAGCACAAAGAATTATGCCTAATAATGAGTCAAAAATTAAAAAAAAACTTTGCTTACAAATATGTTTCTTCTATTTCTTATTACCTCCCTTTACATATACTCGTACAAAATCAATATTCAAAGAAACATCCATCTTATGGCCATTATTTGTACAAAACTACTTTCAAAAAGCCAAAAAAAGTGAGATCTACACCCCCCTTAAAACACTGAACACAGCCCTTTTTTAACATCAGTGAAATGATTTTTGGAACTATTTTAGTGCTTTCTATGTAATGATGCATGCCAAATAACTATGGTCTGGACATTGGAGCTTTACATAAGAGTGCTCACATGAAAATAAGTTCTCCTATCTTTGTGACCTTTGGGGCAGGACCAATATTGACCATCAGGAGCATGGTTTTTATACCTACTGTAGATGTTAACAAGGCATTGCTTCATGCACAATAAGTAAGCTTTGACATAAATATAGAATTGTTGGGCTTATGAAAATGTGTTATTATTTCCTCCCTTTGATTAAAGCTTTTAAAATTCACCCATTCAAAAATGCACTGGTAGTCATGAGATATATATTTTTGCAATTTAAATATTAGTATTTCTTCCTCTGAACGTTTATTTTTTTAAGGTAAGACAACACAGATACAGCAACGTTATAACAGTCATTAAACCTACACCAATCTTTGAATTAGAGACAGACGGCCCACAATAAGGCAAAACAGTGGTAGCATTGTTAATGAACAACTGCCGGTACTGCAGACATTATTCATGTCTGATAAAATGCCTTATAATATGACATATAATGAATCATTTATATCTTATTGTTTTTCAGTGAAATTGCATAAGTTAAGTAATGTTCATCACTTTTAAGTTTGACCTTGACCTGAGGAAGGTCAAACATGTTCTCTGAACATGGTCTCAATATGGTAAGCTTTTCTCCTAAATAGTTTAAATTTTCTTCCACTGTTTCAAAAATACAGACTAGATAAGAAAACTTCTATATAAGTATATAAATCAATTTATCCCCGGGCCGGAGCCAAATTTGATCTAGGAGGCCCGAGCCAGTTTTCTTTACACTGTCTCATTATAAGTAATAACTGCCAAACAGTTTTAATTTCTTTCTATCTGTTTAAAAGATACAGAGCGGACACATAATCTTGAAAATGTCTAAGTATGAACTTGACAACAGACAGGTCAAACCTGTGCTCGGCACTTCGTCTCATTATGGTTAGGATTTCTGCCGAATACTTTCTTTTCATCAGTTCAAAAGATATACACCGGACACAAAACAAGTTAACAGATGGACAGACGGACGTACAACCAACCAGGTGCACAAAATTTTACGCCGAATATACGTATACTAAAATATTTGATTGCCAGGTGTCATGGCTAACTTCAAACAGTTTATTTGACATTTGAAACACAACAAATCTACTATATTTTTGTTATTTGGTTGCAACGAACGAACACCATCCATATACATGACTTGCGTGTGTAACTTGTTTGACGAAGAATTATTCAATGTGTAAGGGATTCCATCGCATTATACAAAAGCTGAACAGCAAATTGTATATAGCCGTTAAGATCGTTTATTTTATATCCCTACAAAACGACTGCTTTCTATCAGAAACAATACAAATAAAGGTTATTTTCTACCCGTATTTTTGAACGAAAGCGTGAAATTAAAACGGTGTTTTCTCCAAATGCAGGATTTGTTTTCAATTTCATTTAATATTTCATCCATATAAAACCATTTTCACACAATTATGTGTTTGAAACGTCGTAATCTATAAAATTGATCATATTAATTTAAACAAATAAACAAAAATGAAAACCTGTCGGGCATTTCTCTCCAATTTTGAAAATGGTATAGTTTCCAGGAATCCAACTTTCCTTGTCTAGTTCAGTATCATCACGCACTTTAACACATAACTGTATTTTTTTCTTATTCTTCTTCTGTTTTGTCCATTTCTGTTTCTTATCTAAAACCCCCTTTGTCCATCCATGACTTTCTGACTCTGGACATCCGTATTTTGACATAGGTATTGCGAATGGACCTGGAGGCCATAGACTTGGCTTTTGCCGAATCCCTATTTTACAGAAGTGTCATTTTATTTACTTATCATGACTATAATGTGTTACTAGTAATACCGTATATTGAAACATATCTTAATATTATGAAAAAAAGTGATAGAGATTAAATACTGTTTCCCATGGTCATTGCTTTGGCAGCAGAATATCTCATATGCTTTCCTTTAGTGTGAATTTAGATTTATTTGCTGAAGAAGGTTGAGCAACTGATAAAAACTATCGATCTTAAGTTATCAAACTGGTTTGCATTAAAAACAATTATAAAAAAGATTGTATCATACTGTTCGGGATATCAATTCAGCTAATGTGGTTTAATAGTACAAGCTTCACCACATATTTTAGATATATAATATATGTTATATATCATAAACACAAACGCATACCTCATCATATACTTTTCAAAATCCTAAAAACACATATTGTTCAATCTTATTCTTAACATATCACTTGCATTGTTTTAATAACAAAACTAGCACCACTTGGATAAGCATGAGAACAACTAATATCATATAAAACAAATTATCGGTCTTCTGCTTAAGCCGGTGCTAGGGGCGTGGACGGTAACTTGCACTTTCCAGTACCGTCCATGAACAGGCTCAATCAAACCGAGCCTGCAACATTTTCAATATTGTCGTGTTTTGCTTTCTTTAGGGATTCTGTATTTCTCTACTTTATAAAAATATTAATGCATACACAAGGTCAAAACATGCAAAACAAATACGGACTATTTAAATTAATATGTATATTAGATAAATATACACAAATATATACATTTTTATTTTACCTTTGCTTATGTTAAGCGCCTCGCACAGGATAGTGTCTGATATCTGTTTGCATCTAGAATATTGAAAGTTCGTATTTTCCTCAACATACTTCGGCTGTGCAAAAACTGTAAAGAAAAGCTTAACATTACCTTTGAATGGATTAGATACAATTAAAGTCATAGGAGACAATATCTGCGCATTTTGATTCATAAGATCTCTGCAAATTATACTAAAGGTTGTTAGGATTTTAATCACATCGGCGCTTATAATATCTTTTAACAACTTTCAAGCTTTACAGGTTAAAAACAACCTTGTGAAACACCTTTTACTTTTTTCTGGAACAAAACGAGTGCTTGAAAAGAACCAATAACTTTCCGTTAATTTGCTTGATAGCTTTCACACATAAACGGCGGGGGTCGGAATTGCCCCAGAGAGGAACAAGTGGTACTAATTCAATGACCTAACCCAATCGGCCACGGAGGCCTCTAATATAGCATGTAAAAAACAAACAAAAAACACTGAAAATCACAATGATAACAACAAAGCAGTAAAACCACGTAGATTCAAATAATTCAAGACACGAAAAAATATAAACAAGGCGGTCTGAAGGACAGCTAAATCCCCTTCCGCAATGAACATTAATGTGTACTTATCGAATTTTTACCAGCCACGACCTTGATGTTATGCAATAAATACCATAAGCACATAGTCTCGTGATACTGATTATTTGCGCCATGTTATTTAAAATCTTCCATAAAGTAATAAAAATATGATGAACATATAAACTTGACATAGGTAGTACCAACCTGGATGTTGAGCTCTTCAGATTGTGTCATATTGCATATTGTGGTGATCATATGTGGCAAGTAATTATAAAACCTTTGTCAACAAATTATAGAGCGGACATGAAAAATAGATGTTTTTACAATGGACCTTTGAGTGTGACGCTTGCCTTTAGGGGTTTGACTTGATGTTTGTGCTCTGCCAATGGTGTCATAATGTTGATTATTTCTGCTTTCTTGTAAACATTGCAGCAGTTTAAATGTTATGGACAAACAAGAAATGTAGACTTTCTTACATTTTACCTGTAAGTGTGACTTTGACCTATGGTGTAGCAATTCAATTATTGCGATCTGCACATCGCCTCATAATTTTGATCATTCGTGCCAAGTTATTTAAAAAAATCACTTTTCACCGGTTTAAAAGTAGTAATGGAACAGACACGAACTGGATACCTTTTAACACCTCACCTGTAAGTGTGACCTTGACCTAGGCGATAGCAACCATATTTTTGCGCTCTGCACATTGTCTCATAATGGTGTTCACTTGTGCCAAGTTTTTTAAAAAACAGACGTTTAAAAGTTATGAAGGGGCACGAAATGCGGACTTTTATACATTTGACCTTTAAGTGTGACCTTGACCTTGAGGTGGCAATTAAAATTATTGCGCTATGTACATGTTCTTATAATGGTGATCAATTGTGTCAAGTTACTTTTTTAACTTAAGTAATTAAAAAGTTATAGAGCGGACACGAAATGTATACTTTTTAATTCATTAAAGTGTGTTCTTCACCTTTTGGGTAGCAAGCCTATTATTGCGCGCTGCACGTCGTCTTATGATGGTGATCAGTTGTGACATGTTATTTCAAAACATTTTCAGATGTTTGAAAATTATTGAGCGGTCACGAAATAATGAAATTTAATATGAAATGAAGACTTTTAAACACTTGACATTTAATTTTTACCTTAACTTTTGGGTAGGCATCCCAATTATTGCACTCTGCTGATAGTCTCATTATGGTGATCACTTGTGCCAATTTATTTATAAAAAGAAAATCAGCTGTTTAAAAGTTTTGGAGCGGACACGAAATAATTACGGACGGACTGACAGAAGGACGGACAGACAGACGAAGGCCATTCCTATAATACCTTCCTACGCAAAGGTCAAGGTCACATTGACCTCTTGGGTATAAACGGTTTCCGATCAATAACTAAAGAACCCTTAGGCCTAGGAACTTCAAACTTAGTATGGTGATTGGTTATGTCAAGTAGATGACCCTTATTGTTTTGGGGGTTACGGGGTCAAAGGTCAAGGTCAAATTGACCTTGTAGGTAAAAACAGTTTCTGATCAATAACTAAAAAAGAACCCTTAAGCCTAACGACTTTAAACTTGATATGGTGATTGGTCATGATCAGTAGATTACCCTTTTTGATTTTGGGGTCAACGGGTCAAAGGTCAAGGTCACAACGGTTTCCGATCAACTAACTAAAAACGCTTAGGCCTAGGAACTTCTTACTTTGTATGATGATTGGTCGTGACCAGCAAATGACCCCTATTGAGTTTTTGGTCAAGGGGTCAAAGGTAAAGGTCACATTGACCTTGGAAGTAGAAACCGCTTCTGATCAATAACTAAAGAACCCTTAGGTCTAGGAACTTCAAATTTGGTATGGTGATTTGACATGACCAGCAGATGACCCCTATTGATTTGGGTCAAGGGGTCAAAGGTCAAGGTCACATTGACCTTGTAAGTAAAAACGGTTTCCGATCAATAACTTAAGAACGCTTAAGCCTAGGAACTTCAAACTTTGTATGATGATTGGTCATGACCAGTAGATGACCCCTATTGATTTTGGGGTCAAGGGGTCAATGTCATATTGATTTTGTGCTTAATGACGGTTTCTGACCAATAACTCAACAACTCAAGTTGCCTTGGTTGATATTTTTATATTAAACTAAAAATGCTTTTGGTATACACATTTGAAGGTCTTATGTAATATAACAACTTGGCTGTCATTAATGAGGCCTACATGATTCATAAAATTTATGCATTTGGTAAGATTTGTAATAACTTAAATTGATGCACATAGCCTATGGGGTCACAATAATTATTACCTTGTGACTTGTCATGACCAGTAGATTCTAGATAACCGTTATTAATTGTTTGTTCTCAGGGTCAGAAGTCATGCATAATAACCTGATCAAATGACTAATTGGCTGCCCATAGGGGGCATACATGTTTTACAAACATATCTTGTTTGACATTGATTTCTCTTATAAATATTACATTAACATATCTGGTATATCTCAAATAAGAAATAGATATATTGATATATCTCAGTCAAAAACAAGAACTTTTCAATTACTTCAATTAAAAGAAAACGTCGGTTGCGATATGTTCCTATAAGGTTGCAGGAAAACTTGTATTATGATTGGAGGCATGTACACTCCTTATTTTATTCTTGTTTATAATGTGTGCTACGATTTTATGTTGCATTATACAATTCATATTTTACACATATGTTTAAATACGCGAAAAATTATCGTTTTGATAGTTATACAACGAAAATTTATAGACACTAATGCATCTTATAATCAAATTGTTTCTCTTGAACAATCAGTTCCATACAATAAATACAGTATATTCTGATCCCACGCTCCATAAGTCAAACAACTTTCCAGATAATAAATTGTGCAATTCTATGTTTGAAATACAGCACACTTTAACGTAAATCACTTAATGCCTAAATTGGACGAAATAAAATACAATCTATAAAACAAATCAAATTCACGTGATATTTTCGGCTTTACTGAGAAATTTCTTGGTGATAATACAACAGACGATGAATTAAATATAAACAATTTCACATACGAATGAAAGGACCGCAAAAGTTGTCACAAAGGCGGGGGATTTGTATTATATTTTGCTGACAAGGTGCCATATCGGCGACGTTACGATATAGAAACGGACTTATTAGAATATGTTTGGTTGGAAATTATTTACCCAAATTGCAAGCCTTTTCTTTTAAATTTTATATATCGCCCACTAAATGTACCTCAATCTTGGACTGACGATTATGAGAAACAACTTAGCATAATAAATATATTAAATATAGAATATCATATTCTAGAAATGTCAATATAAACTTTTATCCAATGAATAAAAAGAAAAAATATAACAATACAAAACGGGGTGATTTGATAACGAAATATGATTTGAAACAACTTATCACAGATCCTGCTAGGATAACAAAACGTACCCAAAAAGTTATAGATCATGGTTGTACAAACAGTAGCAGATATGTTGTCGAATCGTTTGTTTCTGATACCGCATTAAGTGATCGTTATCCGATATGTGTTTCAAGATCAACGAAATCATGTACCCAATTGATAAATAAACATAATTCAATTCAATATAGATGTTTTAAGAAATTTAATGAAATTGATTTTCAGGTAGACCTTGCTTTACCTGAGTTTGAATTAGTCGAGCACATAGTTAATCCGATTGAATCTCTAAGCTTATTATACTCCTTTTTCAATACTATATTGTAAAAACATGCACCAATAAAAGAAAAACGTATCGAACGGGAACAACGACCGGAATGGTTTACTTATGAGATAAAATATCTAATATATGAACGCGATGAAATAAAATATCATCAATAGTAAAAACAGGTAATAGAGACTCCTTTAACAATGCTATCAAAAATAACAAAGACCCGGCATTTTTAGGGGAAAAATTAAAGGACGATTCAAATCTAAATAAAAAGGTTGTATTACAATACCAGACAGACTAGTGACAGGTGAAGAATAATTAACGGAAATGTAAATATTATAAATGAATTAAACAAGTATTTTGTCCATATGTCGAAAGTCATACCTAAACCAAAGTTTTCAAATACAAATATTTCAAACATGAAAGAAACTTTAGACCAAAAGCTAAAAGATAATGAATTTAATGTTTGATGTAAAATTTATTATTTAAAATTTGAATATTAAAACATCTACAGGATTAGATTGAATTGGGCCAAACATTATCAAACATTGTGGAAATTATATTACACCAATAATTGAATCAATAATAGTATTAAAGCTAACATTTTCCAGCATGATTTAAAAAGAGCTAGAGTTAAACCTTTATTATGCTCCCCGAAAAATTTCGGGGGAGCATATAGTCGGCGCCTTGTCCGTCTGTCCGTTCGTCCGTCCGTCTTTCAGTCCGTCCGTCCGTCTGACTGCCTGTTGTCTTGTCCGGAGCATAACTTGAAAACCCTTGGAGATAATTTGTTGAAACTTCATACAGTGGTAGAGGGGCATTGAGGGGTGTGCGGTGTCAAAGAACCATAA